CCGATATTAGCATTCAAGTCACAATTGTTAAATAGCCCTTTCTTTCTCTGTTTATCAAATTCGGTGTACACTATTTTTATATTACATTTTTGTTATTACTGCGTAATTAAACAAGGCGTCTACTCATTAGGCCCGGCCCCCTATAAAGTATAAGATTGCTGATGGTCTAGCTATCGGGTGGGCGCACGCCTGACGTGGGATATACTGTGGGTTTTTGAGTTTTTTGTCGTTAACAGAAATATTAAGCTACCCGTTTGCTTTCTAGGGCCCGATTGGGAAAGGGCGGGGGGGGGGGGGCAGAAGTGATCTACTGTCTCCCTCACAAGCATGTCGTAAAAAGCGACAAATTAAGGGAGTTTCCTTCGAAGTCGGGGTGCATCTGCCGGAGAGGCAAGGAAACAACAATCTGGCTAGGGAAAAAGTCACATCGGTAAAACAAATGGGTCACGCAACACTTAGGTTCTGGAACAAGACAAAATCCAGAACAGGACCAACAACCAGAACAATACACATGCATTTACAGCCAGTGAACGCGAAGAAGAACAAAGCAGAAGAAGAAGAAAGAAGCAGCAGCACAAGAAATATGAAACGATCGAACAAGCAGAAGAATACACGTATGCATTTGAAAAGAATAGTGAGTTATGAAAGTATGCATGTAAGTTGTACCCCAACAGGACATCACACAAGCGATAAACACCCGGTGACACAAAGTGCCACCATGCGGATGAAAATCATACGTGGAAAGGTCACGGAAACCACCGCCATATTTAACGCCCGGCTATAAGTTATGAGCTATGAGTTAGATTATCTTCACAGCACTCCGAACACACCCATAGGCGCTCAGATTCCCCTCTCAACATGTTCATCAGCGTCGTGCGGTTAATAGTACCAGTCTTATGTTGGTTAACAAGACTTCGTGTGCGTCCAGTGTGCTTCTCATGCTTGGCTGTGCCGATCTTTACTCCCAATTCGCGTATTCTTAGAAGTGGTGTGGACACGTTGCTTCCAGAATCCTCAGAACGTCATATCTCTCTAAGGACAATGACAAATAACGCCCAGCTATATTTAGGGCCCCTGGTAAATGTCAGGGTGGGGCTTCAATAGAACTAAAAATTGCATTCCACGTGGGGATGACTAGGAGTATGTGAATTATGAAAGCATTTTTTCTGAATAGAAACAAAATACATTTAACAGAGCGAACATAAAAGACATCAGTAATATTTCCTTGATGGAATTCCGTAATGGAATTTTGAATAAATAAATCATGAATTACCCTCACTGAAAAACGTATCATAACAAATAATTAAATTCAATACGGTGTCCAACGGGCGGTTAATTAAGTAATTTTTGTTTATTTTATCTTTCAAGGATGAATCCTGTGTCACTTTTATCCCCCATTAAAGATCCCCTCAAGGGATTATTAAAATAAAGGCCCCTTCCAGCACAAAGTCAATAAAACGCAATTTTTGTCTGACATTACATCAGATAAAAGTAATGTATGCCAGTAATGAAGGACGGAACAGACCAAGGACAAGCTGTTTTCAGCTGAGAATATATTCCGTTTTAAGGACGTGTACGCATCAATCGCCATCCCCTTGTGGGATGCAGTTTTTTAGTAATTTTGGAGCCCCACCCTGGCATTTGCCGGGGGCCCTAATTATAGCCGGGCCTGAAATAAGGTCTAAAGGCTCAACGGGGTTTCCCGGACCTCTCCACGGGTGATCCTCATCCGAATGGTGACACTTTGTGTCACCGGGTGTTTGTCGCTCTGCGTGATGCCCTGTTGGGGTACCTTTACCTACCTACCTACCAACCATTTTAAGGCGAATTCGTGGGCTTCAGTAAGTAGTGTGACTTTTGGGCAAGGCCTCTCTATGAAGAGCGACATGTCGCATCAAGAGAGAAGCACGAATTCTGCAATTCCAGTAAGGACCCTAAGAGATTTTTGAAACGCTTAGAATCTCAAATTGAGAAAAGTGATTTTTGATCCTTATATCAAAAAGGTGAAGGACATATGGAAATTTTTTCCAGTCATGCTGGCGTGTTTGGTAATGAGCAGGTAGATAGGTTGGCTGACTGGTCCTTGTGTTGGTGTACTGCACCTTGACAAGGCAGAGGTGATATCAAGTGATATCTTTAAAGAAATATGTATATACAATTTGTGTGTTGCTAACCCTAACCCCTACCGCTAACTCGAACCCCTACCGCTAACCCTAACCTTAGCTAAACCTAGCTACCCTAAATGTTGCTACCGGCTTTATTTTGGTGTAGATTAAAATTGAATTAACACTGCGTTCTTTTGTGTAATGATGGGAATACATGCACTAGTGACCGGCAACAGTGGAACTTGAATATGACTATAGTGGTGATCTTAAAGTAAAGATCTTTTTTCCCGCCTTGGGCGCATCGGGCATATGGGAAGAGCATCCGTGTTTTTGCAGACCAATCAGAATAGTTCAAATCTCTAGTCTCTTCAAAATACGTGATTGATTATTTCCGTGCATTACGACATATTCTTGTTTATATCCACTTCCTCCGAGACACCTTTCTACTTTCTAAGATAATGTTCATTGTCTATTTTTGCTTTGTGTAGACGGGGGGGGGGGGGGGGCACGTTTAACCATTATCCCCAAAGGGGGAGCTTTAGATTATAGTTATGACTAGGTTATGTGCGTCATATAAAATGGCTTAGCGCTGTGCGCCACCAAAAGCCCTGAAAAAAAAATGACTCCTGCAGTACTGATGCGGTCAAAGGAGACAGACCCAAATACTGTCCCGACCTGTAACGAAGTCCTCTACCGGCGAGCCAGTGTGCAACCGGGTCACCGATGTGTGTTCATTGTGCAGGTCCTTGCACCATTTGATATTCTACTGCCCTTGGAAGTCATGAGAGGATGTATGTAACCAACGGTCTGAGCGCAAATAAGCCAAATCTCGAGAAATTGGGAAATATGTGGGCAACGACAGGGATTGGGAGTGGGAAGGGTTTTGCTGCCATGAGTGCCAAAGGATGGAAAGCACAACAACGTTGGCCGTGCTAGCTGAGAAAGGATATCAAGACCTGATTAAAGTTGGTTGAAAGAAGAAAGATTAAAGCGCGTATAAGGTCATGGAGCACTAGTATATAAAATAACTGTTTATGTCTATGGAGCTATGTCTTTGAAATTGCTAATCTTAGTGCCAGCATAACTCAAGTACTGGATATATATATATATATATATATGAGAGAGAGAGAGAGAGAGAGAGAGAGAGAGAGAGAGAGAGAGAGAGAGAGAGAGAGAGAGAGAGAAAGAAAGAGAGAGAGAGAACTAAAGATCTTTTATTCCGCCTTGGGCATATGGGAAGAGCACACCTATTTTTACAGACCAATCGGCACTAGGTAGGTAATGTGGTCAGCATTACGCCGGCCGTCTTTACTTCCCCAGGACATCCATCCTGGTATTAATTTTAGGCTGGGTCGACTTGCGACGCCCATACCATAGGCGCAGTAGGTGTCGATTGCGGTATGTTGGAATTACGAGTCGGACTCGCAACGCCTATGGCACATGCGTCGCCTGGAAAAAAACAGAGCAAATTCTAAAACAGTGCTTCTAATTCTACCTAATCAAGCGTGTTGTGGCGACCCTTTAATACAGTTTCCTCGTGTTGTGGCGACTCTTTAATACAAGTCACTCGTGTTGTGGCGACCCTTTAATACAGTTCCCTCGTGTTGTGGCGACCCTTTAATACAGTTCCCTCGTGTTGTCGCGACCCATTAATACAGTTCTCTCGTGTTGTGGCGACCCTTTAATACAGTTTCCTCGTGTTGTGGCGACTCTTTAATACAAGTCACTCGTGTTGTGGCGACCCTTGAATACAGTTCCCTCGTGTTGTGGCGACCCTTTAATACAGTTCCCTCGTGTTGTCGCGACCCATTAATACAGTTCTCTCGTGTTGTGGCGACCCTTGAATACAGTTCCCTCGTGTTGTGGCGACCCGTTAATACAATTCCCTCTTGTTGTGGCGACCCTTTAATACAGTTCCCTCGTGTTGTGGCGACCCTTTAATACAGTTCCCTCGTGTTGTGGCGACCCTTTCAGTTCCCTCTTGTTTTCGCGACCCTTTATTACAGTTCCCTCGTGTTGAGGCGACCCTTTAATACAGTTCCCTCGTGTTGAGGCGACCCTTTAATACAGTTTCCTCGTGTTGTGGCGACCCTTTAATACAGTTCCCTCGTGTTGTGGCGACCCTTTAATACAGTTTCCTCGTGTTGTGGCGACCCTTTAATACAGTTCCCTCGTGTTGTGGCGACCCTTTAATACAGTTTCCTCGTGTTGTGGCGACCCTTTAATACAGTTTCCTCGTGTTGAGGCGACCCTTTAATACAGTTTCCTCGTGTTGTGGCGACCCTTTAATACAGTTTCCTCGTGTTGAGGCGACCCTTTAATACAGTTTCCTCGTGTTGTGGCGACCCTTTAATACAGTTCCCTCGTGTTGTGGCGACCCTTTAATACAGTTCCCTCGTGTTGTGGCGACCCTTTCAGTTCCCTCTTGTTTTCGCGACCCTTTATTACAGTTCCCTCGTGTTGAGGCGACCCTTTAATACAGTTCCCTCGTGTTGAGGCGACCCTTTAATACAGTTTCCTCGTGTTGTGGCGACCCTTTAATACAGTTCCCTCGTGTTGTGGCAACCCTTTAATAAGTTATCTCATGTTGTGGCGACCCTTGAATACAGTTCCAATTGTTATGGTGACCCCCGAACAAGTATCTTCCTTAAAAAGTCAATTGATTGTTTCCGATGGTCTTAGGCGACCCCTGTGAAAGAGTCGTTCGACCCCCAAAAAAGGGTCGCTGAACCGCCGGTCTTAAAGGTGACGTTAAAATTAGATGGGGTTGGGGAAGGGGGGAGGGTGTTCAAGAGAGGCTTCGGGTACAGATGGAGGTGTAGAGTGGAGTAAAGAATGAGTGCATTGTTCAACGTGGTAGGATTAGAAATTAACAACAGCTGTGTTTCCTCACAGAAAGTTTAGGCGGGCCTTGCTGTGGTTGTGTTGCGAAAGGCGACGCAGACGACATCGACTAGACGAGTGGAAAGATTTAGTCAACAATGGACAACCAATTAGGTGAGTGCTACTAGCAAACTGTGGTCATTATGTTGGATAGGCAGCTCACTGTTTTAGTGGAGGCAAGTTTTCGCTACTGATAATAGTTACCTGTTGCATTTTCCTCCATATGTAGACTGAAAGGTCTTGAAAGAGTTGGCCGTTGGACAAAGCCAGGATGAGGACCAACGTTAGGGCCAATCCTAGCGTCCCTGCTAGGTGCTTTTTCAAGGCTGGGCAGATTTGTAATGGTACACATAAATTCTCATACCTTATTTCCACACTCGACTGTGCACGGGACCCGCAACTAGTTTTGAAAGATAGATACCCCGATGCTCGACCCTTAGAGGAAAGGCAAGACAAACGTTTAATCAAAATGTTGCTGGCACCATTAGCTTTGGAACTTTGGGCTGGCTGCTGAAGATGGGGACAGAGCGCTTATGGGAATATCCCAAGTGCTGTGATGTTGGCTCTATAATCAACTGAACTCAGCTCTAACCGAACTAATCCGAAAGACTGGTCTAAGGCCAGACATGGTATTGCACTCAGCTGCACAGAGTCAGCTTGTCTTGGTATAGCTAAGCGTGCCGTACTAGTCGCGAATCGAAGATCGACCCCAGTACAAGAACGAGAAGTATATCGATCTGGTGACCAGTCTGAGGAGCGTTGAAGAGTAGGCAGATAAACTTTTCGCCGTCGAGGTAGGCGCAAGAGGGCTAATCTTCACCATCACACAGTGTACTGAAGCAGCTGGGCTTGTGCGGAAAGAGCCCAGACAGGCATTGAAGCAACTGGTCGAAGTTGCTGGAAGAGCTTTGAGTCGTCTGTGGTCCGAGCCTCTAGTGGAAAATAACCTTTAAATCCCTTGATTCAGAGTTCGCCGATTAGCGTACGACCGTGCTACTGCCAGAAGCCGAAGCCTGTCCAATACACGCTTGTCCGACGAACCAACCATCCATTTTTCACTCTGGTCGTGCAGGCAGGCGCTTATTTGCTGTGGCAGTGACGACATCACCATAACCTCAATTTAAAAAAAATTTAGTTGCAATTCCTTTACAGGACGTTGCAGAACCAACCTCAGCATTTTTTGGTTGTTGTGGTTTTTCTGGACAAGCCTAACTTTCAATAGTTTGCCATTGCCTCTGACCGGTCAGCGCTCGATGCCACTGTCGAAACCAACGCAAGACAAACCGTCTGCAGCTGGGATCGAACTGCATGGGCACTACGAAGCGCGTTCCCTATGCCTAAGCCACAGACACCGTCATACCCTCACCACCGTGGGCAAGTACCATATACGTATTGTCAGACCAACTCAGCCTGAGATGTTCCAGAAGTCATGACCCGGTTCACCCCCCCCCCCCCCCGCCCCGCCTCCTCGAGATTGTCTGAGAAACTATGGTTGAAAGGGAGACATCTACTGAGCAGCGGTTCTCAAACGAAAAATAAACTGTTTTCGACAGTGGCAAGAGGAGACAACTTGAATATTTATATATTATAATAATTTTTATATTGTTAAAAAAGAGACAACTAACAAGGCTGGGTAGGCGCTTATTTTGCATGTTTCCTGTGTTCTTATTCTTATTATTTCGTATAAGGGAGCTGCATGGTGTCCGCCTCGAGTGCTAGAGGTTCCGGGTTTAAACCCTGGTAATGGATTAGATTTTTTTTTACGTTGACTGTGTAGTAAGACAGGACGCTCGTGTGTATTGTTGCGCATGTAAAAAATTCCTTGGCAGTTGGAAATCGAACGAACGAACTTTATTTATCGAAAAGTGTAGCCTAACGGCGCCGCCCTTGCAAAATATAGAGTTAAAAATCTACCCAATACAGGTGCTACAGAGCCTGTGCACTGTGCTGAGCTTTTTCGGGCTCAGACTTGAGTTAGAAGAAGAACGGAGTACTTGTGGGTTACTACCCATGTGCCATAATGTTGATCCGTTATTTAAACCCCAGACTTGAGTTAGATGAAGAACGGAGCACTTGTGGGTTACTACACGTTTGCCATGATGTTGATCCGTTGTTGAAACCTCAGACGTGAGTTAAAAGAAGAACGGATCACTTGTGGGTTACTACGCGTGTGCCATGATGGTGATCCGTTGTTGAAACCTCAGACGTGAGTTAAAAGAAGAACGGATCACTTGTGGGTTACTACGCGTGTGCCATGATGGTGATCCGTTGTTTAAACCTCAAACCTCGATACTTCCTATGGGACTAAGTGTTCCGGTAACACGCGACGAGTGATTTATTATGGACATTCTTCTCTTTTTCTATTCTTACCTGTTTCTTTTCTTACCTCTTGGAATTCCACACAGCGTCAGGACAGCAAGAGATCTTTAGAACGGATCGTTCTGTTTGTTTGCTTTGCTTAAAGTACTTTTCAAAATCTCTGATATTTTCGGTCCATATTCTGCGTGTTCGACCTCCGGCTCTGTCACCGTTGTATCTGTATAACATTGCTCTCGCTGTGAGTTGACTGGCAACCTACTTTCCGTTTGCGAATAACATTAAACATGTAAAGATCGCGTTCATCAGCGATGACCATAAGTGCTCCGATCTACTCCTGGGTTCGTCTCTGAGTGTTTTAGACTAACAACTCCCATTCTGTTCTTATTGATGTAACGACGGGTGGCTCTCGCGACGTTTTACTGTCTCGATGCTTCAGTTAGTACACCCAGGGTTTGTAGTCTATTCAGTGGAGAGGGGGTGAATTCTGTACAACGGAAAGCCTCACAGCGTTAAGCCTCTTGTATGGCATTGACGATGTCTCTCCTGTCCATAGATTGTCCGTTATTGATAGACAGGTCGTTTCTCAACCGTTGTATCGTGCCCAGTATAAATGCTGTTTGGCTCTACTGGTGAAACAGGGTTTACGGAAGTTATACTTGAGTGAAAAAAGAAGATGTTTCAAATATGGTTAAAAACAAAAGACGAAAAGGATTACATTAGGTACAGACTAACTCGAAGAGACACCAAGAGAACAATAAAGAAATCCAAAGAGGAATCATGGAAAAAGTATGGTGAACACCTAACACAGCTATGTACAGAATCACCAAGAGACTTTTATAAGAGTGTGAACGCGATGCGATTAAGAGAAGAAAGCTTCAATCCAACATCAGTCATAAACGATAAAAATGGAAAACCATTATTCAGCCAAAAAGAAATTAAAAAAAGATGGAAGGAATATTTTAAAGAACTTTTGAACCCGTCGGGAGTACATGAAACAGCAGAATTCCATTCAAGGGCTCCAGATCATCTAGAACCACATATCCTGCGGGATGAAGTAGAGAAAGTTATCAAAACAAGTAAAAGACACAAAGCAGCTGGTATCGACGGAATAACAACAGAAGTCATCCAGGCTGGAGGGACACTATGATCACCTGGCTGGAGAGAATTTTCAATAGAGCATGGGCAGAGAGAAAGGTACCAGTGGATTGGCAAAGATCAGTTGTAGTACCTATCTGGAAGAAAAAGGAAACAAGAGAGAATGTGGAACTTATAGAGGAATATCTTTACTAAGTCATGTGGGGAAAATGTATGCAAAGATCTTAGAAGGTAGGATAAGAGCAAAGGTTGAACCTCTACTGAGTAAAGCACAATTCGGTTTCAGGAAAGGGCGAGGTTGCACTGATGCCATATTTGCACTAAGACAAGTCTGTGAAAAGACACTCGAATACGATAAAGAGCTGAACGTGGTCTTTGTAGATCAAGAGAAGGCATTCGACCGTGTAGACAGAGATGTGCTGTGGAGAATTCTTGACGATTACGGAGTGCAGGGTCAATTATTAGACAACATCAGAGCCCTCTATGAAAAAAGTGAAAGTGCAGTAAGAACATCTAGTGGTCTTTCTGAATGGTTCAAAGTCACAACTGGTGTCAGGCAAGGATGTGTACTGTCACCATTACTTTTCATAACATACATGGATAAGATCACTGTAGAAGCAAACCCAGACGTGTATGCTATAAACGAATTACTTTTTGCTGATGATCAAAGCATACTGTATCAAAATGAATATGATCTACAGGAACATCTGACTACTCTCAACAACAGCTGTTTACAACATAATATGAGAATCAGTACAGAAAAAACAGAAGTTATGAAGATCAGCAGAACACACAGGCCACTGAATATAAATGTTGGAAGTGCCAAAATCAAGCAAACCAAAGAGTTCAAATACTTGGGCAGTATATTTACAGAGGATGGAAGAATGGACAGAGAGATAGAAACAAGAATACAGAAAGCAAAATGCTGTCACATACCAACTATCACCTCTGCTTAAACATCCAGATATAACCATGTGAAGACCAAAAGACAATTGATAAACACCATCTTCATTCCAACACTCTGCTACCAGTGCCAGACATGGACAATCAAACAAGACCCATGAAAGAAAAATAGAAGTCTGTGAAATGAAATGTCTAAGAAAAAGCAGCGAATAAGACCAGACTAGACAGGATAAAGAATATAGACATTAGAAACACTGTCAAAACTACACCATGTTTAGACTACATAGAACATCAAAGAATGAAATGGTTTGGACATCTAACCAGGATGAAAAATGATCAAATAACATCACAAATTTTCAACCAAAGAAGCTCAGGATATAAGGCAAGAGGAAGACCAAGGAAATTGTGGATTGACGGGGTCTCCGAAACCTGCCAAAAGCATGGCCTCAGAACATCAGATGCTGCCCGCCTTGCTTATGACAGGAACTTGCATCTCCCCACAACGCTTAGCGGCATACGTGGAAGGAAAAAGTAAAGTATACTTGAGTGAGTGAGTGTGTATGTAGTTGACTGCGCAGATAAGTGAGTAGTTAAGTCAGTGAGTGAGTCAGGTAAATAGTTGAATAAAATATTACTCGTAGAATAAAATAAACCAATAAATATTCATTATAATTTTGTAAACCAACGCGCCACACTGGTTACTTTTGCGAAGTACCCAGGCAGCATGACTGCGACTGTGGTACGATATAATAAAATCAATGCAGTTTTAGAAGAGCACCAGAATAGTTTGATCAAATTTACAGCCAGAATCCAGTTGTACAAGCTCCCCAAGGGAACCTCTTGATAGAAAGCAAAGCTCAGGATCCGATAATGCTGCTCTGATAATTGGAAAGATTACTGAGAATAAATCGACAGAACATAAATATGTCTTCTAGATCAGCGGGATCTAGGAGTTGATGAGGAATGTAGATGAGTAAACATGACAGAGAGTTTATAATAGCAATTTGACGGACAGATTAGATAGGGGGGGGGGGGGGAGGGTGTATTGAGGTTGTTGTTGACTTCTGTGGCTTTGGGGTTGCGAACGTACTTCATAATTCCGATGTGGCGCAGAATGCCTAGTGTTGGTTTCGGTAGTGGTATCGAAAACCGACTGTTGAATAAGCAATGGCAAATTATTAAAGGTAGAATTGTCAAATAAATGCAGGGGTTGGTTCTGTAAAGGAAAAAAAGCATTTATTTTTATTGGTAAATAAGGGATTTAACCAAATTTAAAAAACAGCAAGTATAACTTACATCTGCGAGGAGCAACACGTTTTTTTTTAATATTTATTTATTTGTGTGTGTGTGTGTGTGTGTGTGTGTGTGTGTGTGTGAGAGAGAGAGAGAGAGAGAGAGAGAGAGAGAGAGAGAGAGAGAGAGAGAGAGAGAGAGAGAGAGAGAGACTTGGAAAAAAAAACAAGTTTAAGTTACATATACACGGAGCAACGTTTTTAATTTTAACAAAATAAAAGAAGCAAGTTTACATTTTTTTTTAAACATTTACACTGGGTTAGAAATAGAAAATCAAGGCAGCAATTGAAGGAAATTGCGGTATGTGAAAGAGTCGCACAGAAGAAGTAAAACAAGACTGGACGACGGGGGGTGGGGGCCGTGGGGGGGGGGGGGGGGGGCACAACAACATACATCATGTCACCAAAAGTGAGTAGCACGAAATAATAATAATTAAAACAAATAGAATTCTGTGATTTCACCAGTCAATGATTCAGACAAGATGGCGGACTTTGTTCAGCTGCCTGCCAATTTCATTAATGAAGGTTCCAAGAAGTGGTGAATATCAACATTGTTACACATTTTAAGATTCAGGCAAGATGGCGGATTGTTTTCTACTGCTTGCCACACTCTACCATTAAGCTTCCAGGAACTGTGTTAATATTCAGACTGTTTATTTTTTCAAACTTCGGATTACTATAAACTTTTCAACTGGATTCAATACAATTTGGATTACTGCTTATTTCACTTTAGATAGAACATGGAGACCAACGTAGGAATAGAAACCATCAAAGTGCCAAGAGACAAAAATCACAGCCTGCATAGAGCAGTCACCCTGGTCGTCACCTTAGACGGGCCAACAGCAGCGGCGAAAGCTAAACCTGGCTTCCTAATGGAAGTTCTGATAAGTTCGCCATCCCACATAAAGGGATTATCGACCTGTACAGGCACGAATGCCCAACACAGTGGTTCTTCGTGCTGTCTCAAGAATGCCAAAACAAATTGTTCCAGAAACTTCATGACCGAACAATACACCTGCAAAGTGACAACGTAACAAGCAGAACAGAGCACTATGGAAAGCAAAGACAACGACTCACCCTAAACTGGCTTTCCAGCCAGATGACTGCAGAGGGAGTGATCGACATAGTCAAAGAGATAACAGGCGACAACAAACCAGAAGTTTTTCCTGTACACCATGACGAAAGAAAATGGGGCGCCATGTGCAAGCCAACGCATTCAGTACCCCATTACATCTACGTGTATACTCCCGGAATTACACAGAAAAACCACAACCCCAGACCAATCACCGAAAACTAGAGACATTCCCCGGATACCAGAAACAAGAGAGGCTACAGAAAGAACGGTGAGGGATGACCCAGCGCCGGAAACCAAGACGATTGGATATGGGAACAGTTCTTTAAAAGTTAGATAAAATGAGAGACATATATGCAAAAGAACTTATGTATTAGATGCGAGCAAAATTTGAATTCTACTATAGACACAACACAATCTATATGGATGCTCTGGCACACAAACACGTGTACAACCTTTGTGAAGAAGGAGAAATACAGGAACATGCACACCTTCGGCTTCTTTACAACGCAAACATGGAAGAAATCACAGAATCAGCAGAAAACTGGTTCCAGATATAGATAAAGCAAAATTTCTACACAACTTAATCAACAAAAAGAAACAAAGTGAGGCTATACTCCTTCTATAACCAACCTCCCACACATCCCCTTCCTTTTCGTGTTTTTCTCTCTACACAAAACAGACATAATCATACGGCAACGCATGTAAACAGACTAACACTAGAAAAGCAAGAACCACCAATACTCATACTCACACGATAGAAGAAAAACACAATACTCGCAAACATACAGAGTTCAAATAAAGGGGGAAACCCCCTCCCCCTCCCCCGCCCAAAAAAATCACATTGGGTGGTCTTGCAATGAAAACACTTTCAATGTGTTCATGCGGTCAGCTGGGTTTACTAAATATGCAGCCATAATTAGACACTTTTTGATGCCTCCACAAGTGTAGTTTTATGATTTACTGATTTAAATATACTTAAAGCTAAGTCTAAGGGGGATGCAGTCTAGAGGAAGGGAAGATGCAATATAGAATAGGATAAATCTACTAACTAAAGAATGACGTGTTGAGTTAAAATCGAAACACGCATTCAAGCTGCGTTAGTTAAAAAGAAACCTGCAGAGTTCAGATTTCCAAGCTTGTAAGTTTAATTTCGCAAGTGCAGCTAAACCAAAATTATTAACAGACTAAACCTATCCCACATCGGCCTGTTACATAAGAATAACGACATCATAGCACATCGGGCACACTCATAGGTGCTCTGTCTCAATGGAGGATGTCTTAAGGTGAAGATGCTAACTATTCTAATAGCATATTGACTCGTTCTATTTCTGTCACACGTCTCTGCTTACCATAAAAATGTGTTATTTATTCTATCAGCATTCGTTCATAAATGGTAATCAGAATGTCTCCTTTGTCCAGTACGAGTGTTCCTGAAGCTATCGATTCTGTAGCCAGCAAAGACGTTTTCATTTCCTTGCACACCTGCATATCCCGGGCAGCCAGTCAATCCAGTGCCGTCTCCACAGTAAAGGTCGGCAGCAATGGATCTCCATTACGCTCTTTCTTTTCCTAGCTGTAAACTCTTAGACTGCTGCCCCTCCATGTTGACCTCTCATTTGTAGCGTTGCCCATCCTTTGCTCTCCTGCCTTCGACCTTTCCCTGCAATATGGTTTTGAAAAGCATGTAAAGTCCTAATTTAGTCAAAATATTTCAGTTGCCGCTTTTTAATTATTTTTTTATGACCGATTCTTCTATTTACCCACATTTCCAAGGATTCGGTTAGATGTTCTAATAGCTTGTTCAATTTACACGCTTCTGCACCGACAGCAAGGTTGGGTATACATAACATTGAACAATTCTGATTTATGGTGTATTGTTTATCTCTTTAGCTGTCAGTAACTTGTGCATCTTATTAGAGACAGTGTTAGCAATCTCTATTCTCTTTTTGAATATTTTTTTGTTTTGTTTCACTTCTACATGACCTAAAAAGGAGAAACGTGCTACTTGATTCAATAGGTCTCCTTTTACTGTGATGTTGAGTTTAGATCGCTCTTTTCCATTGTTAATTACCAAAGTGTTTGTTTTTCGAATGTTACTGTCTAAACCAGACTCTACACTCCGCCTGTTGATGGACAGTATATCCTTATGATTCCGTGCAGTGTTGAGATACTGATGCTTGGGATCCACTCATGCCACATTTGTCCATTTTGAACAATCCGCGAGGAGCGGTTCCTGAACGGTCAGAAGAATGGGCTTTCAAGCGGGGGACCCGGGTTCAAATCCGTGGTAAGGCTGGGGATTTGTCCCCGTATGGGGCAAAATAAATTCCTCACCTGCACAGGCGTGGCGACAGCACTAGCCATGCAGCCGTAGATCTTCAGGCTCAACCCCCCCCCCCCCGCCTGACTACACCGCAAAAGTGGTTTAATAAAGCTAACTTGCAGTTTTGCAGTAATCAGCAGTACCATCTGCGAGTCAGTCAGTAGAATTCATTGGGTTCTGTTGTCTGTTGTCCCCTTCAGACTTTGCAGTACGGAAACACGATTAAATGTCCCTGGATACCCAACATGTGTAGTATAATATGAAATATATATATATATCTTTATAAAACAACATCCCATCTAGTCATCTAATCCTACTTGACTCGTCTTCCACAGAATGGACTCCTTCAGACAACATCATCATCAGAGCACAGCCGGGCGCCTCTATGATCTAGACAACAACAACAGAGATAAAGACAAGACCGATCAAGAGGCTGCCGACCGACAAAGCCATTTCCAGAGGAACCATTTTTTAGTGTTATATGAGCACCTACTGCTAGAGTGACTATCTCGACAGGCTAGGCAGCAGACACTTAGAAAGATGGACGCAGCAACTGTTTGACTTTATCTCTTGTTATGTACAACTTATTTACTTTTTACTTCCATCCAACAGTCTGTGCATTTGCTCAGTAATTTAACAGAATGATGCTTTTCTATGTACAACCTCAGGTATTTTAGTTTTAAATCACCCCAAAGAAACCTGGTAGTTAGATTTAGGATAACTATATTTAGTATAGGGTTCGGGTTTTGGTGATCAAAATACCAAACACACATTATGTAAAGAAAATCAAAACTAACTGCAAAAGAGGAGAGGCAAGACAGACATGTAACCAGATTGTGACCGGTACTATCAGTATTGGAACTCTGCGCTGGCTGCTGAAGATGAGGACAGAGCATTCATAGGGATGCCCCGAGTGCTCTAATGCCAATTGTTGACTCAACTCAACTGTAAAAGAAAACACTTTGATGATGCATGATATAATTGCACTATCCCAGGAACTATAGGATTGTTTGCTTTGTTTGGGGTGAATTAAAATGGTAGTACACAACCTCAAGGATGAGGAAGGAAAGGGACAATGTTACAGAGGTGGCAAAGTACGACGATGTGTGTACAACCAGTGTGCTAGTTGAAAAGTCCGCACTTACATCATTTGACATTGCAGGAAATTAGGTCATTATGTTGGTATAGCCGGTATGTTCTGATGTTGTTCTAAAATCCATAATTCCGCCATACCTGTTGTTACCTTGTTTGATATTGCAGGAAATTAGGTCATTATGTGGGTATAGCCGGTATGTTCTGATGTTGTTCTAAAATCCATAATTCCGCCATACCTGTTGTTACCTTGTTTGATATTGGCATTTGCTTGCACTTTCCCGTAATTTGTGCTTCACCTCAACACCACAAGGTACAAGAGGACCAAAGATGAGATAAGACTGATACCGGGTTTACAAAGCATACAAAAGGGCACTTTCACATAAAGTATGTTTCGCCTCAAAACCGCAAGGTACAAGACGACCAAGATGAGGTGAAACTGATACCGGGTTGTAGCCCAGCATCATGTTTTATTTTTTAAATTTGTGTATGTATCTTGCTCTTGTCTGGTAGCCTAGGTTGTGGATTTGGGTAACGGCCTTTTGATTTTAAAATGTATTTTTTTATGAATTTTAAATTATGTGTCAATATGTTGACATTACATGATGAATTTGAATGTATTTGGTAATACGTGGAACTGAATTCTTTCATGAAACAAAGTCACTGGGTAATAAATACAGTGCTTGTCACACGTATCATTCATGCCATATTTAAATCTGTTATCTGTGCTCTTGCAGCGAGTGGAAGCTTATATTTGATAACTTTGCCGTTTTGGGTGTGGATGGATGGATTAATATTTGAGAGTGCGTGTGCTCTTGTCTGGAAAGCTATTTCTAAAGCTAGCAAGCTGCGGCAGTCAACTTTCGAGAGTCTTGTGATAGTGTGAGTGGTGCTGGGAGTGGGGGGGGGGGGGGGGAAGAGAGCGAGCGTGTGAATGGTGTTGAAAGAGGGGGGGGGGTAGTTATGCGCGTGGATGATGCAGGAGGGGGGAGCAAGCGGTTGGGTGGTGCTGGGGGTGGGGGATAAGCGAGCGTGTGGTGTGGGAAAGGGGAAAGCGAGCGTGGGGGGGGGGGGGAGGTGGGGGTGAGGGGGGGGGGGAGGTTTCAGCGAGCATGTAGTTGGTGCTTGAAAATGGGGGGGGGGGGGAAGAAGCGAGTGCGTGCTGGTGAAGGATTGAGCTAGCGCGTTGTGATGGGTGGGGGGGGGGGGGGGGGGGTGATAGCGAGCACTTGAGGGGATGATTGATTGCTTGAGGGGGGGGGGGTGTGAGCGCGTGGGTGGTGCTGGAAGAGGTGGGGGCGGTAGTTGAGCGAGCGCGTGTGTGGTGCTGGAAGAGGTGGGGCGGTGGTTAAGCGAGCGCGTTTGTGGTGCTAGATGTGGGGGGGGGGGGGGGGGGGGGGGTTAGTGAGCGCGTGGATGGTGCTGGGGGGGGGGGGGGGGGGTGGGTGGGTGGGTAAGTGGTTGCTTGAGGTTGAGTGAGCGCTTGGGTGGTTCTAGGGCGAAGGGGGGGGGGGGGGGTGGTGCGTGGGTTGTTGGCTTTTGGGAGAGCGAGCTCATGGTGTAGGTGAGGGGGGTTGAGCGGGCGCGTGGTTTGGGTGTGATGGGGGAGGGGAGGGCTTGAGCGAACACGTAAGGGGGGGGGGAGCGATTGCTGGGAGAGGGGAGGGGGTGAGCAAGCGCGTGGATGGTGTTGGAAAAAGGGGGGGGGGGGTGTGAGCAAGATAGAGATCTACATCACATTCATCATGTCATGAGAAGAAACTTGGAGCACATCATGGAGGCTCCAGGAAACAAGATGAGATATAAAACCAAACGAAAAGTATATCATCGAGCTTCACCATATAACAATCGCAATCAAAACGTGAACGTTGTGGCTATGGAGCCTTCTTTAGCACATACATAAAATAAACAATACAAAACATATACTCAATATCCCTTATCTTTGTGTCTCGTGGCAGCCAGGTCGATGTCAAGACAATAGTGTCGCGAGGCACGTGGGCAGTGTTGCCACTTTTCTTGGACAAAAAACATCCAGAAAGGAGTCAAAAAATATCTAAACATCTACATTTGCGGGGAAAACATCTAGTAAAAACATGCAAATGGAAAGAGTCGCAAATTACATAGCTATTGATAGGACTTACCCTATAGAATCATGTCCTCATCTTCACTGATATCTGCCTGACAAGGTCCACAGGTTAAACTTAGCCTGGATGATGAAGTTGAAGCTCCAGATCCAAAATGACTCTGGTATACTTTAGCTGTTCCAATTTCTTTTAATACACAATCAGGGAAATAAGTGGAATATCATTTTCCTACTCTTATCAGGCCGAATTTTATTATCAAGATAGCATTTAAGAGGTCAGATTCCATCCTGTTTCTTAGGTTAGATATGATATAATTCACAGCACTGAAAACTTTTTCTACGTCAGCATTTGAGTGGGGTAGTATCATGGCAGGCATGGCACATTTAAGGAGCTTACAGAATGGACTGTTTGATGAGACATCTTTAAATTGTCCCACTTCACTCCAAAACGCTTCAGTTTCTGTTAAGGTTGTCCATTTAACTAAGTTTATTTTGGTTAGCTGATGTTCTGCTTTCGCGAAACTGTTATCAGTAGCCCCTAATGTCATAACTTTACAATATTTAGGTATGTCCTTTATTGGCTGAAGTATGTTGCTCACAGAAAATAGTGAAATATTTTTCAATACGTCTAGATTTTCAGGAAGTCTCTGCTTCAGTTGCTTGAATAATGAGATAGGAAATCTTCACAGTGTTTTCTTAAGTTGTTCTCTTCATTCTCTGTTTACAGTCCTTTTGTTTTTAAATCATCAATCTTTCATTCGATTTGATGTCTAAGGTATGGCTTCGGAGCCAAATAGCTCACTATAGTGCAAGTGAGCAAATAAGCTTTAGAAGTTGGCAACACCAGTTTTTCACCAACTGAGTAAAATAGCAAAGTGAGATCATCAAGTAATTTAACTTTATCAACATGCTTAGATTCGAACAGTTTATTAACATTTTGCACTTCCATTTAAATAGGTTGTGAAAAGAGAAGGAATACCAAATTGTTTTTATCACTGTATATTCCATATAGTATTTCAGCTGTGTAGCACTTTTCACTTTGTCTTGTTATTTCAAAGTGTGTCTTCAACTCCAACCAATGGTTCACAATTCTTTCAACAGCTGGTTGAAATTGATAACCATCTAGTTTTGCAATCTAACAGAATTTTCAGTGGTGTGGAACCATCATTGAAGTTTGTATATAATGTATTGTATTGCTGTTGTCTGACAAATGATTTGGAAAACCAGCTATGTGTTTCAGCAATACGGTATTCCAAATTCCTTGGTAAACATTCAGATGAAGAATGTGATAATGCTAGCTGCAATAAATAACACATACATTTTATAAGTATTAACAATGGGATAGTTTCCATCAATTTGGCATAAATGTCATTGTTTATACCAACCATGGCATTATCGGTACCAGTTGCAGCCAAATTTTTCAAGTCTAAGTTTGCTGATTAAAAGTTTCTTCAGTTCTTGAACTAAACTTTCGGCCACACACTTTTCCAATTGAACTAGTCCAAGATATGTAGAAACTACTTTGTCCGTTTTGTTGCTGTAATATATAATACACACACCAAGCACTTTCAGTATTAAAATATCATTTGATTCGTCTGATAATAAACTCTATTTATTTGTAGAGATATCACTGATCAAATCTTTTTCGAAGTGAGAAAATGAAGTAAAATAAAGTATTTCTTATAATATGTGCACACTTGCTGGGATGCATTTTCATCATCCTCAACTTTATTTTCAGAAAAAGTGTTTTCAAACAAATCATTCAAATGGTCACAGTTTGAAATTGCACAATGACAACTAAAAAACATCACGACCGATCCTTCGACTTTTGATGATTTATTATCAGTCTCGTTCTGAAAACAGATGTCAGCGGTGTAATATCTTTAAATGGAGCTGCAGTTTTATGCTTTTTAATCTCTGCATGACTCTTTAAGTGTTGTATTTTTGATTTGATTTCACACTTGCTGTACTTACAACGAGCCTTGGTTATATACCCAGGAGCTGCCATCACCCAGTCTTTAATTTTGAAACCATGCAGCAACCCTTTCCGAAATGTTTGCTCATACTTTACTTTTGGCATGTTGAAAGGTTTTTTCAAAGTGAAAGCCACATATGAATGTGAGCAGTTATAATTTTTTTTTTTAAATCACATGAAAAAGAAACACAAAGTCAGCACAGTGAGGATAGGGTTGAAACAATGTTAGTATGATTTACCCGCGCTTTTAATTAATCAGTACCGCGGCTGTCAGATATTTAAGCATTGACCCCAGTGAGAGTTCAAAGTTTAAGTAATCGCAATTGTCACAATGTACGTACCAGACCAAAACAACAATTTTGTAGTTAATATTTTACACAGTAATTATTAAACTGACACTGGAAGAAGAAAAAAAATTAAAATATCTAAATCCAAATTAAAACCTCTAGAAAAACATCTACCATCTAAACGTCAAAAACAAGGAAAAACATCTAAATCAGGATGTAAAACATCCAAAATGGCAACACTGCACGTGGGGGCCTGGAAAATATATATCCGAGGATATGTCAGGGGCCGTCACTAGAGGATAAGATGAGGCAGTGGGAGACCGAGAGAAAAGATGCTTGACAGTTTGAGATCATGGAATGGAAGATCATCTCTTTTGGAACTGATAAAATACCTGAGACAGAAGGTTGAGGCACCGCCTTCCCCAGAAATAGAGTCAGTCGGACGTGGTTGAGGATAGAAATGACTAATGCCATACTGCGTGGACCAGGGTTGTTCAACAAAGTTTACTTAGGGGCCAAAATAAGAAAAACGGGGATCGTTACGGGCCAGATGTCTAAGCGGTATGAACCACGATAATCTTTCCACGTTACACACTAGATCAATCCTGATTGGCCGACCTCCAGTCACCCGACATTCGCACACTGCTGCAACCTATGCCATAGGTATTCTTCTCGTAAGAAAAACATAAATGCAAGACAAGCCAGAAAGAACAGCATAGCCGTAACCCCCCCCCCCCCCTTTTCCCCGTAGATCTCACCACCTGAGCACTAGCGTAGAAAGATCATTAATACAACAAAGCTAGCAATGATCCGTGGGCCATTTGCTAATCCTCCGCGGGCCAGATGTGTCCCACCGGCCGCCAGTTGAATAGCTCTGGCGCAGACTATAAGAAAGAAAAAATTCCTAGCAATTTTACTAATCAATTATGATCTCTTTTCTTTGTAACATTTAATCAACAGTCTGACTTGCTTGGTCTGTGTGGCCTTGTTACCCTTTACAGTAAAAAAGTTTTAAAGTGTGGGTTGACATTTAGTTTACCATTTTAATGTCAAGAATAGATAACTTATTTTGAAAAATGAAAAAAAAAAAAAAAGAAAGAAAGAAAGAAAAAACAAACTTTTAAAGAAAGAAAGAAAAAACAAACTAAGCTGGATTTAGGTGTAAACAAAATAAGCTACAGATTAGGGCGTCACAATCTGATAAAAAGTAATGGACCTTTTCCACGCAATCAGGCGTATAGGGCATATAGGGCTAGACCTATATTTTATAGACCAATCGGCACAAAATTGGTGATATGGTCAGCATCACGCCGGTACCCACTCAAGGCTGGGTCGACCTGGGAGCCAAGCGAACCCATGACCTTCCGATCCGCGACGAGCGTTTAGCCGCTCGGCCACGGCGACTCCCGACATGTAATGTGGCATCGGCTATCTTTTGATAACATAATGATGTGTGCCATGCGGGCCATGCGCCTTGCGTTGGTTTCGACAGAGGTATCAAGAAAGCCGACCGTCCAGTCGCAATGGCAAACTACTGGACGTAAATTTGTCCAGAAAACCCACACCACAGCCAGGGGCTGTTGGGGTTGGTTCTGCAACGTCCTGCAAAGGATACGCAACTAACCGAATGATGTGTGCTTTTGGGAAATCAAGCAAAATACACTTTAATTCTAACTGAAGTCTTTTTTGAAGATTATACAGTATAGTTTCTGTGATTTTGCTATCCATATCTAGATATTTAAAGTGTGTGTTTATTTAAATAGGCAGCTTCCCTGTAGCAACATACGGATGTGAGTCGTGGACTATCTCCCATACAAAGAGTATAGGGGCTTTTGAGCTAGAATTCTTTAGAAAGATTCTCAGAATATCTTGGACAAAGAAGAGGAAGAAATGCTGACATCTTGAAAGATCGTAACATCAGGAAAGATTGGCTAATAAACAGCATCCTGTCTTGGAAGCTAAAATATTTGGTTATTTCAAGCGGCAAGACGGATTTGAAAAAAAAATTATAGCCCAAGGCTTGGTACCAGGAAGGAGAGGCAGGGGCCGACCAACACGAAGATGGGCGCAATATATAAGAGACTCTTTGCGTATGAAAGTACATGAGGCGGGAGAGCTAGAGAGAGACCGAGTTTCTTTCGGGCAGACCGTGATGAGAGCGACGTTCTGCAAATGACCTGCTACATGATGATGGTTATTAAAATATTTATGAGATTAGCTGGTGCAGTTAGGGGTAAAACACTCGTTGACGAATTGACACGGTCCATGTACTTTCTGTGTTTGTGCAGTTCCCGTTAAGGTGACGTAAGTGTCTGCCCCGTTGAAAACGAACAAATAGTTATAAATTTAGAATTTGATTTGCTGATGACATAGAGGGACCGCCACTAACCGCCCCACAATATTGTGTTGCGAGTTGAACACACACGGGAAATGTCACCTGTTTCTCGTTTTACCAAAGGTGAAACTTGAGTTGACGCTCGCAATACACACTTTTCCCTTTATTGACAATTTTAGACTGCCAAAAGGGAGATAGTGGTAGACGATACGTTTGTCAAATCGATACTCGGTTTTTAAAGCAACTGTTTTATTTTTGACACATTATCTGTGATACAAATCTTGTTTTTAAAGTGTGTTGTGACTTATGAAATGAAGTAGTGTAGCCGTTTGATACACCTGGATAGTCATTTTTACCTGGGCGAATTGAAAAATACCTGAGCGGGTCAAAGGTGACAGGCGTCTCCAGAAGTCAGGGGACCGCAAACATGGCGACTTTCTCCTGTCGCGTACAGTATCTAGACGACAGAGATCCTTTCGCCAACACTAATTTCCCAGAGCCTACTCGGCCACCAATTTATTCGTTTCTGGACGATGTTCCGTTAATCAACCAGATCGCTAGTATACATAGATTACTGCAGGCTCCACATGAGGTACGTTAGTAATTTGTGTATGTGCTCTTCATTTTAATGTTCGTTTCTACAGGACGTGTTGTTTGCCTATCTCATATCTGAAATGTCACTGAAGGCGGAGGAAAGAATGAGTCAACGATTAATGCTTGGCAGGTCATGCCTATTTGAACTATTGTGGCATGGGAATCCTTGCTTTTAAAAAGCAAAAAGTATTATAAAAACATTGACACATAATCTGGAAAATAAAATGTGTAAGTACTGTAAGTCCCCCCACCCCCCCCCCCCCCCCCCCCCCGATTATAGAATACACTAGACAGACAAAATGTCTTGAAATATTGAGTCGGAAAGGAATTTAGTACCCACATTCAGACTGACCATCTGTATTTATTAGTCGTGTCAGTGAGAAGAAGACTGAAGTACATTATTACAGTGGGAGACTTTGGAGGGGAAAGAGGCAGAGGGAGACCAAGAGAGAAGATACTGGACAGTTTGTGACATCATGTCATGGAAGATCATGTCTGTCAGAACTGTCTAAAAGTACATGTGACTAAAGGTTTTGAATAGATTTTTACCAATGCCCACTATAAGAAGAAAAAAGACAAAAGCTATTTTTATAAATGGAATATCCTAGTTATAAAACTATTATCATCAGGTGCCGTGCCATGCCGACTGGTGTAGGCGATCATGCCTCTTCAAAATCTGCGATCTCCTTCAGCATGTATCAGTTTATCTGCTGACACATCTCTATGCCATGCAACAAGACTGTCAAGAATCTTCTCTCGTTGTCTTCCTCTATCCCTCCTTCCACATATCTTTCCAGTGGTCACAACATGTTCAATTTACCCTCTTCTCATAACATGGCTGAAAAATATCTCCTTCTGATGTCTCTGATAAGTTGTCTTCGGGCTCCTGCCTCTTTCAAAACCTCTTGGTTGCTTTTTTTGGCTGTCCAAGGTATTTTAAGCATTCTTCTATAAAACCACATCTCTGAGGCCTCAAAAAATTGTTTGGCTTGCCTACTGATTGTCCATGATTTAGTTAAAATTGGATGTATTTAGCAAGCAAGAATTCTTTTTCTAACCTTCAGTGACAGATATATTGCATAAGATGTTCATTTTATAAAATGCAGTTTTTGTCTGTCCTATTCTGTTTCTTATTTCAGTTATGCATCTTCCATCTGATGTTATCCATGTACCCAGATACTTAAATTTCTGTCCTTGTCCCAAAATAACACTGTTGACTTGTATTACACATTTAGGAATAATTCTTTTCTTTGATACCACCATTACTTCTGTCGTTTATTGTTCAAACTGAGGTCCATTCTTGCACTTTCTACCACCACAATGTCTATCATATCCTGTAGTTCTTTCTGACTTCTTGCTAACAAGACTGTGTCATCAGCATAACGTAAATTGTTTTATATAAAACTATATAGAAGGGGTTTAGCATCAGAGGCCCAAGAGGCAGTGACACATTTTTATAATTTCACAAGTGTAACACATTAAAACAGACCATACTAACTGAACTGCCTCACAAAATATACATATAATACATCAAAGTGACCAGGGATTCTTTGGGAATATTATAGAATACTGCTGCAACAAATAATTGCATTAGTAATTAAACATTAGTAAATAGACAGACAGTATGTTTACAGAAATTAAAAAAGGTTAGTTGTGTATCCTTTACAGGACGTTGCAGAACCAACCCCAACAGCCCCTGGCTGTTGTGTAGTTTTTCTAGGCAAATTTACGTCCAGTAGTTTGCCATTGTTTTCTGAACGGTCAGCTTTCTTGATACCACTGTCAAAACCAACGCAAGGTGTATGGCCCGCAGCTGGGATCGAACCAGGCACCCTGGCATTAGGAATCGTTCGCATCGACGTAGCCACAGAGCCGACTTACAGAAATTAGTAAAATAAAATTTAACAATTTCCACTTACCACCATGGCAGTCAATGAAAACTCGTTAAAATATATCCAAAATTAATATGAACCACTTAGTAAAATATAAGTAAAATATTAACTCGATCTATACATTAGGTTTTGTTCCTGAGAATCTTTTGCAGCATCATAACAGAGCACCATTATTCTGTAATGAAAATTGACTTTCCCAAAAAAATTAGAATTTTCACACAAAATGTTTAAATAACACTCAATTTGCATGTAATTTTGTAGCTATATTCCTAAATAATAAGGGGAATAGCACTATAACTGATGCCGAAAAAATTGCTGTTTCACTAATGTTTATTATATTTGTGCCAGCTGACTTTGCTATCTTTGTACCCTTAGCATGAGGCACACATTATACATATTTCTCATCAAAGTTTGACTCTATAAATGACTGAAACACATCTTCTTCGCAACGGTATCTATCTAACTTTGAATAAATCTTATAAACACATGCTTTATTTAAATTTGAGGCTTATAAAACAATAAATCATGTTGGCATGTATGTATAATACTGCTCAGCGGCCATATGCTTTTAAAACAAACACTGAGTAACTTGGCAAACCTCGCAAATATACCATATTTTCATCTTTAAAACCACCTTTCTAAATAAGCACGCCTGATGTCAGACACAAAGAACTTGGAAGTAAGTTGAAATTGAGTGGTCCGCATATTATTACCGGTCAGTGGTAAATTAAAACCCTTTACTTGTCACGCATTGATTGTAACCAACGAGCGCGTGATACGTTCCCTGGGGCTCCGAGAGTTAAATGCAAGAGGCATTCAGTGTGTTCTTTAATCATGTTATGAGACAAGAGGCATTGAACATCGTGATAACCGGAAGTCGCAGTGGTAAAAGAGGCAGAGGTAGAACAACAGAGATAATGCTAGACAACCTTCGCAATGGACGGCGATGGCATGGAGGAATATTGTCAGTAGAATTGATTTTAAATACTAATGACCGAGATATTTTTAGACATGAACATTTACACTATTTGGCAAGTATTAAAACGTTTAAACAAGATATGCTTGATAAAGCTCTTGATATTAATTCTTGCTTTTAATTAACTACCAGCTTCTTTGATTCATACTAAGGTACTGAATGCACAGTTGCTGAATTGTACTAAAGTACTGAATGCACAGTTGCTGAATTGTACTAAAGTACTGAATGCACAGTTGCTGAATTGTACTAAGGTACTGGATGCACAGTTGCTGAATTGTACTAAAGTACTGAATGCACAGTTACTGAATTGTACTAAGGTACTGGGTGCACAGATGCTGAATTGTACTAAAGTACTTGATTCACAGTTGCTGAATTGTACTAAGGTACTGGATGCACAGTTGCTGAATTGTACTAAGGTACTGGGTGCACAGATGCTGAATTGTACTAAAGTACTGGATGCACATGAGCTGAATTGTACTAAAGTACTGGCTGGATGCACAGTTGCTGAATTGTACTAGGGTACTAGTTGCACAGGAGCTGAATTGTACTAAAGTACTGGATGCACAGGTGCTGAATTGTACTAAAGTACTAGATGCACAGTTGCTGACTCATACTAAAGTACTGGATGCACAGTTACTGAATTGTACTAAGGTACTGGATGCATGGTTGCTGACTCATACTAAAGTACTGGATGCACAGTTGCTGATTCGCACTAAAGTACTGGATGCACAGTTGCTGATTTGTACTAAAGTACTGGATGAACAGATGCTGAATTGTACTAAAGTACTGGATGCACAGTTGCTGACTCTTGTTAAAAAAACTAGATGCACAATTGCTGACTCGTGCTAAAGTCCTTGATGCACAGTTGCTGACTCGTGCTAAAATACTGGATGCACAGTTGGTGACTCGTGCTAAAGTACTGGATGCACAGGTGCTAAATTGTACTAAAGTACTGGGTGCACAGGTGCTGAATTGTTTTAAAGTACTGGGTGCACAGGTGCTGAATTGTACTAAAGTACTAGCCGGATGCGCAGCGTCCGTGGTTAAGGTGTTGCGAGTCCGACACGTAATCCAATTTTTAACGTGATCGAAACCCACTGCGGGCTGCGTGGATTTTTATCATGGTATGGGACCTAGCAGGTTGATCCAGCCTCAAATCGGTACCAGGATGGCTGTCCTGGGGAAGTGGCGATGGCCGGCGTAATGCAGACCACATTACCCACCTAGTGCTCTTCCCATATGCCCGATGCGCCTAAAGGCGTGAAAAGGGATCTTTACTTTACTTTACTTACTAGCTGGATGCTCAGGTGCTGAATTGTACTAGCTGGATGCACAGTTGCTGAATTATACTAAAGTACTGGATGCACAAGTGCTGATTCGAACTAAAGTACTGGATGCACAGGTGCTGATTCATACTGAAGTACTGGATGCACAGATGCTGACACGTACTAAAGTACTGGATGCACAGTTGCTGACACCTGGTGGTGCACTGGGGCTAAACAGGACTGATACTGATCTAAACCTGTCTGCATCTCCCAATTCTCATTCTGGAAACGGGAGTTCTACCAGGGACCTGGTCAACATGATAGCATCAACCTAGTCAACATGATAGCATCAACCTAGTCAACATGATAGCATCGACCTAGTCAACATGATAGCATCGACCTAGTCAACACGATAGTGTCGACCTAGTCAACACGATAGCATCGACCTAGTCAACACGATAGCATCGACCTAGTCAACACGATAGTATCAACCTAGTCAACATGATAGCATCGACCTAGTCAACATGATAGCATCGACCTAGCCAACATGATAGCATCGACCTGGGCAACATGATAGCATCGACCTGGTCAACATGATAGCATTGACCTGGGCAACATGATAGCATCGACCTAGTCAACATGATAGCATCGACCTGGGCAACATGATAGCATCGACCTAGTCAACATGATAGCATCGACCTGGGCAACATGATAGCATCGACCTGGGCAACATGATAGCATCGCCTTTTTCTTTGAAGTGGCAGTAAATTTGCCTGAGGCAAACAAATAGTCTGGACATAAATAAGACAGATTTATAAAATGGATGTGCACACACAACTCAAGTCCTGAAACAAGACCAAAGTCCAGAAGTAGACAGACTACCTGAACTTTCTTTAGAAGTTTACATCTAGGGAGCACAAAGAAGCTTAGTAGTCAGAACTACAAAAATTAAACTTCTAAGAACACGCATCTTTGCCATTGCAACATACACATGTGAGACCTGGACACTTCTAAACATGCTGAACAGTGCATAAATGCCTTCAAATACAACTGTTATAGAAGGGTTCTAAGAATATCATGGGTAAATAAAAGAACAAATGCGTCCATACTTCAAGAACTGAATACTGAAGAAGATTGGCTACTAAAGATGATAAAACACAGACAGTTGAAATATTTGGTCACTTGAAATGTCAGGAAAGTTTAAAGAGAACAATAATGGTGGGGTATATGCCTGGAAAGAGAGGAAGAGGCCAAATGGAAGATGGGTGCAATATGTGGCGGATGATCTCCAGATGAGTGTATCAGACGCGGGACATCTTGCTTGTGGTTGAGAAGTTTGCCCAGGAGTTGTAATGGGAGCAAAGTTCTGCAAAGGATATGCTGCTGACTTACTGACTGCTTATCTCTTGACATCTTTACAAACAATATCAGGAAGAACTTTGATGCCTTGCTTGGTACTGAGCTAATATTTAGTTAAAAATGCCTTAAAATCTGGCTATGCATTGATTTCTCAGGGGTTTTTGTTCATAGGATAGCCAAGCAACAGCCCATTTTACTAATTCGTTGAAATGGCCCTGACTCTTAGTTCCTGACTCGATCCCATGCCTCGAGACAACGCAGCTTTTGTTATTAGGGTTTTTAAATCTATTACTCAGGCAATTATAAAAATTAAAATAATTAAAGAAGTCTAATTACTTGGCCGTAGCCGATAATGAATAAGATAGAGAACATACAATTTAAATAATCAAGAGTATTTGAGGCTGTGTTTACATAGTGTTTAGAAGGCTTGCATGCTTAGACAGTATTCCTAATATTTTTTTAGAAGTCACATAAGTGTCAACAATTGTGTTAAAATTTTTTTTTCTTTTTTTGCTAAACGCTTTGAGTCCCAAGGAACACATCATACATTCATGGCTTCATATCTAAAATCCCAATGAACGCATGATGCGCCAATTTTATGACTTTATTTACTACCCCCTGGGCCTGTGATGCTAAATCCCCTGGGACTCAGAGTTAATCCCTGAGTTAATTTAGGAAAGAAATAAAACTGAACGAAAAGTATATTAGTTAATGATATCAGTATATGAGTTAATTTAGATGTTCCATTGGTTTAACTTGCTCTATCCATGAGTTAATTTAGATGTTCTACTGGTTTAATTTGCTCTGTCCCTGAGTTTAAGAAAAAACTTTGCAAAACAAGTCATTTACCATTTACAGGATATATCCAAAAATATCCAAATGTAAGAACAAGATGTCAGTTTGTACCATTTTCTCCTTTTGTGTGGTTTCTGGGGCCCTCTTATAGGGAAAGCAAGAATAGACCCACTACCTACCCAAAAGCATGTCGTAAGAGTCAACTAATTGGTAGCTTTCTTCGAAATCCTTGTATATCTGCTTGAGAGCCAAGGAACCAACAGTCTGCATACAAATTAGTCAGATCTGTAAAAAGGATGCACACACAACACTCAGGTTATGGAAAAGGACTGCAGTCCAGAAGTGGGCGAACAACCAGGACTTTCCACCCGAGTTTGCAGCCGATGTACCCAAAGAAGCGAAGACTTGGCCCTCGCAAAGATTTTGATAATTTTGCACCTAAATGTGCCGACAGACTTGTAAACAGAGTAAAATTGTATGTAACCTTCCCTCAATATTTTAAAACATAAAAACAAGTACGGAACATTACACTAACATTGCAGGATACGTGATCAATGCAGACTGTGGTTGGGTTCGGAACTTCTCAATCAACACACATTTGGGCCTGAAAGAGTTAAGAGCTAGTAGGACCCAAGACTGTTACTTGAAGGTACAACATAACTGTGCTGCAATAAAACTGACTTGTACTATAAGAATTAACCCATAAAACTTTAGATTACATCATGACTTCCTCAGCTGGAAGATTGTGCCCTCCAGTTGTACCGCAACCAGAGTGGGACTCAAGGAGAATATGGCGTCTATTTGGATCTGGAATCCACCTTAGATGAGCAAGCAGAAGAGTTGGAAGGCTTCACAGATCAGTATGTTTTTCTACTTTTTATTCTTTATAAACCTTCTTGGGTTCACATCATGTTATGTCGTATTTATGAGCCAGATTGGTTAGACTAAATATAACCTACAGGTTGAATGGGATTTGCACCCAGGTTATTCTTGTCCAAATGGTGGCACTTTGTGTCACTAGGTGTTTGTCACTGAAAGAGTGGTCCTAGTGGGGTTCAATGTCAGTCAGTCAGTCAATGGGTGGAACAATATATTGTCAATTATTTCAACTACGTGATGCTTGTTTTTGTGTAACTGGCATAGTGGACCAAGTCTACCCAGCTTAAAATTGATCCTGGGAAATGTAAAGATCCCTTTACACCACCACGTCTACTCAGCTTAAAATTTATCCTGAAAAATGTAAAGTATAGGTCCCTTTACATGACCACGTCTACCCAGTTTAAAATAGATCCTGGGAAATGTAAAGTCTCTTTACAACACCACGTCTACTCAGCATAAAATGGATCCTGGGAAATGTAAAGTAAAGGTCCCTTTACACGACCACGTCTACCCAGCTTATAATAGACCCTGGGAAATGTAAAGTCCCTTTACATGACCATGTCTACTCAGCTTAAAATTGATCCTGGGAAATGTAAAGTCCCTTTACACGACCACGTCTACCCAGCTTAAAATTGATCCTGGGAAATGTAAAGGTCCCTTTTCATGACCAAGTCTACCCAGCTTTAAATTGATCTGGGGAAATGTAAAGGTCCACTTGGAAACTATCATGCAGTTTTGCAATACTTTGCTGTTGTTGTAAATAATTCCGTAATTAAACGTTTTGCTGATTTCAGAAAGAAGAATGCTATTATTCTTCGGACACAGTTAACCGTCAGGGTTAACTCTATCATTGGTGAGTGATATTTGCTTATTAAATCTCATTGCTGCCTCATTACCTTATACAGGCACAAATCAGTTTGTTAAATAAAATGTCAGTCGACCTACTCTTATTTATAATAAATAAATAAAAACTGGACAATTGGAACTAGTAACAAACTCAGGCCCAACTACATAGCTGAGCTGTCACTGATGATTGGTCAGGTTGGTCTACGTTAGAGGGGTGTAGAATGCACTCTCTCATGTGACCTAGGTTCAGTGTGTTTGGGCAGGGGAGGGGGGGGGCAGGGGTTAAGGCCACCTGTACATGTTATAGGGTTGTTAAAACCGCTCACATCCTGAAATATAGAGCACACGTGGTTGCCGGTAAGACCGCTGAGACAATACCTCGCACCAGACTGACATCCCTGCCACTTAAACTGGAACACGTCTCAAAGGTGAACACGCATGAATAAACATCCAGTCATTGTCTTGGCCGGACTTCATAAGTGTGTAGCTGGGTGGAGCTAGGCTTGATTTCCTTACATGTTCCGGAAAATGTTTATAAAGGACTACCTCGAGTGTATAAGCTCGCTGTGTTGGTTTGGAGGACCAGTTTAGAAAAGGAAAAGGGGGGGGGGGGGAGAGGCCCAGTGCCCCCTAACAGTGTCATAATAGGCAGTTAATTAAGATGTTTCTTCTGAAGTCAGTGTCCTGCCTGAGAGGGGAGGCGAACTGACAGCCTGCATACAGTTTAGCCAAATCTTTCAAATGGATGCGTATGCAAAAATCAAGTTCTGGAACAAGACTGAAGTCGAGAAGTGGACGAGCAACCAGAAATTTCTGCGGTAGTTTACAGCTGGTGAATGCTATGAAGAAGATTGCATATAGATATCTGTTAATCCAGTCCACTCACAAAGGTCACATAAACCATACTGAGGTACTTTGCTAGAACTATGTAACTTCAAGAGACTGTGTGGCTATGGGATGACTGTAGGTGATGATAGTGAATGGCAAACTAGTTTTTAGGTGACCACTTAGTGTCTCATTGTTCAACAGCCCACAGTTGTCCGGTCCCCCCTACTAGGAAAGTTGTGGTGGACAAGTGGAGACTCTAGGATTTGAGGGGCATGGACCAAGTTCAATATCAGTGTGTGTTTGGCAGAATCACGCCTATTTGTGTGTGTGTGTTTGAATGGGTGGGTAGGGATGTGTGTGTGGGGAGGGGGGGGGGGAAGAGCTTTTCATCATTTGGATATTATGCATGTCTCGCCTGCCAGTTCTAATTTCTGTCTAGGCGATGGGTAGATTGTACATTAATTCTGTTTTTTAAAACATCTCAGAAGGCTGGCTAGACACTTAATCCACCACCCTGGGGTCACAGAGAAGCACACCATCCTTTGCTGGATTTTTGTTTGTTTGTTCAGGTTTCATTAGTTTTATATACAAGGTCACAATGCTTAAGGAATTATTATATTTTTTTTCCCTTTTAATTTACTAGGAGAAAAAAAATTGTGAACTTTTTTTTTCAAAGGGTTAAATATTTAGTGCACAGTATTCTTACCAACTCTACGCTATCAGTGTCAATCACTGTCTTCAGAAGACAGAATTAAAATATTCACGACAGAAATGAAATGTTTACATACTATGCTAGGTGTAACTAAATCAGGAGGAGAGTCGGCACAGAACCAATACTGAACTTTATAGGTAGAAAACAAAAATGGTTTGGCCATATAGAAAGATTGGTATCAGACAGGGCACCACAGAGAGCAATGTTATACAGTGGTAACAGAGCCAGGGGTCGAACACGCAGAATATGGACCGCATAAATATCCGAGACACTGAAAAGTACTTTATATGAAATGAACAGAAGGGCCCGCACCGGAGATCTTTTCCTGCCTTGACACAGCGAGGCATTCCAGGAGTAGAGAAAAGAATAAGAGGAGGAGAATTGGTTATACAGGCCTGTCTTACATTATGTCCGTCAGTGAGCAGCTAGATGGGTAGTTAGAATGCTGGGCTTTCATGCAAGTGACTGGGTTTTGAATCCTTAGTGAGGCGAGGAAAGGAATTTTTGGTTGGGTGAAAATAATTCTAACCTCTACAGTTTTCGACAGTGTTATTGGCTCTTTGGTCCTAAACTTTCAGGCTCTGGATCCCCCCACCTTGTCTTATTCTTCTACCCTTTATTTCCTAGTTGAGCAGGGAATGTTTATAGTTTACTAGTGAATGTTTATAGTTTACTAGTGAATGTTTATAGTTTACTCTGATCCATTCAATACTGATTTTCACAAAACATTTTAAAATCTCAATTTTAATATGTTTTAATTTCCTTTGAATACCACTGAAAGCTCTAGCATTTTGTATTCATATTTTACTATCTTTATCATCTTTATCTACATTACTGCAGAGTTAGGTTATGACACCTTGACTTGTTGTGGGATATCACCCCACCCTGTGGCGCCCCCTCCCCTACCGAAAGTGATGAATTTTGGCTGTAATAGCAGTATACAGGCTTTTGTTAAAGCTAGGCAGTTATGAATCCTTCGACAGATCTCTTTTCTATTAAGCGTTCGACAAGCAAGCACTGGCTGTTGTTATTCTGCGTAGAAATGTCTTTGTCATCAATGCATGTTCCTGGGCACCCCGTTGTTTTCATATTAGATTTTTTTTTAATGTAAAGGGCCTGTTTTAGAAATTGTGGCTGTATTCTAATGTGTTGATAGAACGGTTTCATCTGCTTCTCACAAAATTTGATAAAGTGTTGTTCCCTCAGTCTAACAGCATCATTTCTGACCTGGTCCCATAGTTAGGTTATTGATTTTCCTTTGATAACAGTAAATTAGTGAACACTTTTTTGGAAGCTTACATGTGGTTTTCTAGACAAATGATAAGAAAACCCTAGACAGATCAAAAGAGTAATGAAGACATTTTGAAAGAAACTGATTCACTAAGAGAACTGATTGCCCACATCAGAAGGGGACAATCGACATTCTTTGGTCATGTGATGAGAAGGAGAAAACTCAGGTACATCATAACGGTAGGAAAGATGGAGAGGAGAGGAGAGGCAGAGGGAGACTGAGAGAACAGATACTGGACAGTTTGACATCATGGCAGCGAGGATAATCTGTGTCAGAGTTGATTGAAAGTACATAAGACAGAAGGTTGTTGATAGACATGACTACCAGCACCAAGTTTGGCACGTATCAAATGATGAGTCTTTAAGTTCATGAAAGTAAAATCAGTTACAGCTATATATTATTTGTTCTGGAGATGATAGGCAGTAGGGAACATTGTGATATCTGAGAAGGTTAATGGCAGAAGAGCGAAAGACAGTGAAATGATTGTGTATAAACTAAAATATTTTCATAGGGTATCTAGTTAGCAAAGACATGTTGATTCCTCTTTGAAGATCTACTGCAGACCCCATGCTTTTTAATAGCTGTACCAAAGAACATATAGTGATTTATAAATATCAGACATGCAGAAAGTATCACATTGTAACATTAGGTTTGTGTAAATGCAGTGATTGTAACTGACCTCAGTGCATGTTGAGAAAGGTGAAAACAGGCATGCTTCATGCAGAGTGGCAAGCATCACTTCAGATGTCCTGAGTAATTAGCATACTTTTGATATTTTCTCCAGGTCATTCTGGTATGTTGGGAAATGAGCAGGCAGATAGACTGTCTGGCTTTGCACCACTTGGTGGTAAACTGATGTATGACAAGTTAGAGGGCCCTTTGGGAGCAGATGAACAGTGCGGAGGCACAGATGGATCATTACGGTCTAAGGAAAATGGCGCTGCGAGGAGTTATCAGGGGATCTGGCTGACCTCAACACTCAGGGGAAGGAAGAGACATATATACAATCAGAGACGGCTGTCCGAGAAAATTTGAAGTTAAAAATCTACCCAGAGTATTTCAGGATCACAGAGTTCGTGCACTGCACTGAGATTCTTTGGACTTAAGTTAGAAGTAGAACGGAGCACTTATGGGTTACTACCTGTGTGCCATGATGTTGATCCGTCGAATAAACAGAGTGGCAAGGAACAACCATTTGCACAAAAATAAGCCAGTAAAATGGATGTAGACACAAAACTCAGGCCCTGGCACAAAGCCAAAGTCCAACTGGACAAAGAAGATTTCCTGGTCAATTATTTTAATACATTTTTTGTTTCATTGAAGAAAAATTGCTGACCTCTAATGGAAGGGAGTTGCGGAGGGCTTTGTTTTCCTTGAAGCAGATATTTCAGGTAAGAAGTTGCTTGTAGCAGATATGTTATTGATTCTCCTTAAGGATATAAACAACAACAACAACAACACGGTATATAATGCTATACTTGTTGTAAGAGTTGGTTCATTGTGAGGTTGGTTACAGCATCTGGCTAGGCACTTCATAAGGTGCTGCTGGTAATGATGGTGATGCTACCTTATAAAACAAGACATTTGATGTTATTTTAGTTCCTGATAATATTTCATAATGATAATGATAATTCCTGACGTTTCCTGATGATGTTAATATTTCATGATTATAATATTTCCTGATAATGTTAACATTTCATGATTATAATATTACCTGATAATGTTAATATTTCATAATTATAATATTTCCTGATAATGTTAATATTTTGTGATTATAATATTACCTGATAATGTAACTATTTCATGATTATAAAATGCGGTAGCTGCTGCTCATGAGTCCCAGCCATCCAGTTTAGCCCCAATCCACGCCGCATGAGCGGCGAGGGAGCACTCTCGGAGGTGGCGGAGGTTGCCCAAAGTTCGCAATTCGGTGGCGGCGGAGGCTCGCATTTCAAGACCACGGAACTGAGCAATTGCCTGATAATGTTAATATTTCATGATATTTCCTAAAAATGGTAATGATATTTCATGATAATGGAAATATTTCCTGATAATGTTAAATATTTTTCCTGATAATGAATGTTAAATATATTTCATGATAATGGTAATGATATTTCATGATAATGGAAATATTTCCTAATAATGATATGCCCTGATGATGATATTTCGCAAGAATGATATTCCTTGGTAATAATAATGATATTATCTTATGATGATGATGCTGATGCCTGAAAAAGAACAAGGGGCAGGTAAATGTTGATGGGCATAGAACAACACAGGGAATAGAGCAGACGGTGCAGAATTAGTACCCAGAATGCATTGAGATCAGCAGTGTGTAGGGCAATACTGGATATATTGTTCAGTGGTACCGTTCAATGGTACTAGTGCATTACAACATCAACTGTATTGTCTTTGCTGTTTATCTTTTGATGTTGCCCATTGACATGTCACCCTGTCTGCCTTTCGCTTTGCTTCCATTATGTTTAACTCTTTGAGTCCCAAGGAACGCATCATACCTTCATAGGTTCCTTCCTAGAACGCATGATGCGCCAATTTTATTACTTTCTGTACTACCCCCTGGGGCTGTGATGCTAAACCCCCTGGGACTCAAACTATTAAGTGACAGAGCTCTCTGTGGTGTACTGCCTTGTGGAAGTCTTGACCCATGTCCAAACCATTTGATCTGTTGTCTCTTGATCTAATTTGATACTGGTTCCATCTCAGCTTCTTTCCTGATTTCCTGATTTCTGATCCCATCTCTGCTACATTTAGGATTCACCCAATGTCATTTCTATTGTTTTGATTATTGATTGTTGTTAACGTCTATGTCTGGCACTTGTAACACAATATTTAAGAACTTCAGGTCAAAAGCGGTAACGCAAAACATGAATACTATATAGGTAGTCAAAGAAGAATAATAAGCCAACACAGAACTAGTGTTGTCAGTCGCCGCACGTTTTGGGATATACTAAAGGCAGGATTTGAGCGCTTATGGACTTGCCCAACGTGCACTGGGAATAATCTGTCAAATAACAGGTAGGGTAGGTATTGTACCTCACCAGGAAATCACACACGTGATAAACACCTGTGTACACGGTGTCACCATGGGGATGAGGATCACCAGTGGAGATAGTCTTATCTTGCATGAATTAAATAATTCTGACATTTGCTTGTGTCTAGGATGACAAAGACCTGGTTCACGAGTTTGTCAACAACGATGGTCTCACCTGTATGATCAAAGTGGGCTCAGAGAGTGACCAGAATTATCAGAATTATATTCTCAGAGGTAAGTCAACATAACGTACTGCTGTAAGTTTGTCTTTGTCTTCTTCTTCTTCAATCCTTCTATCAGAAAACTTATATCAGGAGGCTGGTAGCCTTTATGAAAGCTATCATGCAGTCCATATCTTCTCGTGTACCATAGTTTTGTCTTCAGTATGATTGGCAATTTTGTCATATAATCAAAGCAATGTTTCCCCGATGTGAATTTGAACAAAGAAGACACAAACAATAGACTGCACAATTTATCGCCTGACATATTTCGATGTATCTCGTCAGGTGCATACTACAGTAACAATTAATTAAAATGAAGCAAATAGCTGAATCCTAAAAACTGAAACACAAATTCGAGTACATTTCAAACTGTTTCACCAAGGTAAGCGTAGGGCAACGACCATTTCTTTTTGCCTAGATAGTTCCGGTTTCAATCTGCCAATCGCGGAAGCTTCCGATATGTGGGCAGAACTGATCAACGACTGGAGCAACGGGTTGCGGAACATATTCCACTATGGGTGGTAAAAGCAATGCAGAACACTAACACCTCAACAGCAACGAATCATGTGACTGGTCGAAATAATCCATCATCAGCAATTGCTTGCCCTATTCTAAATTCCGGGCACATCATTAACAGGGATGATGCATTTCGAATTATTTACAATTCGGTCAACCGTAGATTACTTCAATACGCGGAAGCTTCTGTTTGAAATGTACTCGAATTTGTGTTTCAGTTTCTAGGATTCAGCTATTTGCTTCATTTTATTTAATTGTTACTGTAGTATGCACCTGACGAGATACAGCGAAATATGCCAGGCAATAAATTGTGCAGTCTATTGTTTGTGTCTTCTTTGTTCAAATTTTGTCATAATTTTAGCTTTACAGTGTTTTGAAATTCAGTAATCAATATAATATAGTGGAAGTATACATATTCATCAAGTGCCATGCCAACTGTCGTGGGTGATTATGCCTCTCAACAACCTGCCATCCTGTATCAGTTCATACGCTGATGACCTCCGTGCCATGATAAAAGATGTCAATTATGTGCTGTTTCTCTGTCTACAATACGTTCCAGTTTATGTCTGTCTATATGTATGTATATCTGTCTATATATTTGTCTATAAATCTGTCTATATATTTGTCTATAAATCTGTCTATATATCTGTCTATAAATCTGTCTATATATTTGTCTATATATCTGTCTATATATCTGTCTATATATTTGTCTATAAATCTGTCTGTAAATCTGTCTATAAATCTGTCTATAAATCTGTCTATAAATCTGTCTATAAATCTGTCTATAAATCTGTCTATAAATCTGTCTATAAATCTGTCTATAAATCTGTCTATAAATCTGTCTATAAATCTGTCTATAAATCTGTCTATAAATCTGTCTATAAATCTGTCTATAAATCTGTCTATAAATCTGTCTATAAATCTGTCTATAAATCTGTCTATATATTTGTCTATATATCTGTCTATAAATCTGTCTATAAATCTGTCTATATATCTGTCTATATATCTGTCTATATATCTGTCTGTAAATCTGTCTGTAAATCTGTCTGTAAATCTGTCTATAAATCTGTCTATAAATCTGTCTATAAATCTGTCTATAAATCTGTCTATAAATCTGTCTATAAATCTGTCTATAAATCTGTCTATAAATCTGTCTATATATCTGTCTATATCAGAAACAAATCTATAAAAATATGAAGACATATCTGACAGCGGCCATACTAGTCAGAAAGATTCTCCCACAATCAGAAAACAAGAATACAGACTTGAAATGTGACTACAGAGGTAGTTTGAGATTACAGTAATGATCTGCATTTGTCATGACACGTGATGATGAAGGTTAACTCTTTGAGTCCCAAGGAACGCATCATACACTCATAGGTCACTGCCTAGAAGCCCAATGAACGCATCATGAGCCGATTTTACATCTCTCTCGACTACCCCTGGGGCATGTGAAGCTTAACCCTCTGGGACTCAAAGAGTTAACCACATTTTTCTGTTGGTCACAGTTTTCTGCAACAAAAAATTTATAATTTGTTTAAATCACTTCTGGTAGAGAGTGGGGTCTTATAGATAAAAACTGTGTACACAAGAGTGAATGGGAGTAGAATTTGAGGCAGACCAAGAAAAGTGTGGAAAGGTAACATGCAGGCAGATATTCAAATACTTCAATTCGGCAATGGAAACAGGACAACCAGAGATGAATGGAAGCAGGTGATATCTGCAGCAGTAAACCTCAATGGCTGAGTGCTGAAGACAAATTTTTATTGTTGACAATATGATATGTAATTATGAAGTAAGTTATTCATTCATTCATTATTATGTTTTGCCATATGTCACATAGGGCTCGCAGTCTGTTCCTCCATTCCATTCTATCCTGTGCAATCACTTTAATATCATTAATGGAATCAATTCTGGCAGCTTTGGCGCCTCTCATTAACCTTCTTCTTAAGATTTCTTTTGGGCATCCTTACCTTTTTAATCTCTTTATTTTTTTTAATTTATAAAATATTTAAATAATCAAATAAAAATAAAATAATCACTGCTGATTAATATATCACCTGATTATGTTGCAGCCCTGGGACAAGTTATGTTGTATGTGGACGGTATGGAGGGATTGATCAAACATAATGCAACAGTCCAGTGGCTGTACTCTTTGCTGGCTTCCAAGGTATTTGGTTTGTTTCTTTTACATACAAGCTTTAACTCAAGTGTTCTCCTTTTATTAAAAACACAATATCTCAGCTCAGTCCCTTACATCTGGTTCAGCACACCTTGTTGAACTGTTCACTGTAGAAGCACTAGTATGCCTTATGCAGTATTGCATGTGCATGATGCTTGTTTTATTGTGACTTGCATGCTTTGACAATGAATTGCAGTTCTAGTGGTGGGCTGTAGTTGTTGAAACTCTGGTGGCTATGCCATCATGAAATAGGAGTGAAAGGTGTATCATCTGTTAGTTAGTTAGTTGGGATATGATCACTGCACTCTAGGCATGTCCATAGGTGCCAGATCCTTCCCTCAATATGAACCCCAGCCCTTTGTGCCTAATGGTGTGTGGTCTCATTACGGTCTGTGGAGAATGGCACTGCAATAGTTACAAGGGGATCTGCCCGACGCTGGACACCCAGGAGAAAGGCCAGATGGATTTACAATCCAACAGCAACTGGTACCATCAGAATTTTAACTTTTCACTTGCTGCTGGAGTGCTTATGAGTGCTGTGATGTCAAATCTTAATTCAACATAGAATGTGATCTATTGCCATGTTAAAACTGGGGTGGTAGAGACAGCTGAGCATCTTCGTTAAACCGTCCACTCTACAACTTTAATTATGTTGAGTCTGTCCTCTGTGCAAAGTTAAGCATGTTTTGCTAATAAGAAATGTTTTTTTTTTCTAGACCTTCTATGATCTTTTGCTTCCAGACCTTCTATGATCGTTTGCTTCCAGGCCTTCTATGATCTTTTGCTTTCAGACCTTCTATGATCTTTTGCTTCCAGACCTTCTATGATCTTTTGCTTCCAGACCTTCTATGATCGTTTGCTTCCAGGCCTTCTATGATCTTTTGCTTTCAGACCTTCTATGATCTTTTGCTTTCAGACCTTCTATGATCTTTTGCTTCCAGACCTTCTATGATCTTTTGCTTCCAGACCTTCTATGATCTTTTGCTTCCAGACCTTCTATGATCTTTTGCTTTCAGACCTTCTATGATCTTTTGCTTCCAGACCTTCTATGATCTTTTGCTTCCAGACCTTCTATGATCTTTTGCTTCCAGACCTTCTATGATCTTTTGCTTCCAGACCTTCTATGATCTTTTGCTTTCAGACCTTCTATGATCTTTTGCAATTTTCTTGATTTCCTAAACATTAGTATCATGGAATTTTGGAACTCATAACAGAAGTCATTACTGTAACTTGTATTTACTGTTTGCGATTGTGTCCTTTAAATCTGGTCACTTTGGTCAGTATGGTGGATAGTTAGGCTTACTGGTATTAGTGGTGGCAAATTTTCAATTCTGATAATTATTTGCGACTGCATTTTCCTCCAAATGTGGACCAAAAAGAAATAGTTCCGTCGCCCAGCTGCTCAGATGTACAAGTGTGACACTGCACTGCATATTTCATTTGAATTACTTTTTGAATGTGCCCATCATTATTTGTGTTGTGAACTGCAGATTCAAAAAATGGTCAGTGGCCTGTTGCCAGAGAACTGGTGGTGCCTCATGCAATTAATTGTGTGTGCAATTACTGACTTTCTTTTCACTGCTGCTTCCATTGATGATGAGATGCATTTATTTCTATTACTGGACTGTTTGTGTTAGCACTTCTGATGGCTGCCCTATGCAAGGACAGTGATGGGCGTTCTGTGGGGTTTTTACTGGCACAGGAACACAGCAACTTTGGGGTGGCCCATTTGAAGGGATGTTGGAACTACGATTACCTAAAATAACAAATATTTACTCTGAGAAATTGATTAACACTGCGTATCCAAGTTATTACTCTAAGGGTTGAACAGAATATTTTTGAAAAATGTATACTACTACTGCTGCTGCTACTACTGCTGCTGCTACTGCTGCTGCTACTGCTGCTGCTGCTACTACTGCTGCTACTACTGCTGCTGCTACTGCTGCTGCTGCTACTGCTGCTACTACTGCTGCTGCTACTACTACTGCTGCTGCTACTGCTGCTGCTACTGCTGCTGCTACTGCTGCTACTACTACTGCTGCTGCTACTACTACTGCTGCTGCTACTACTACTGCTGCTGCTACTGCTGCTACTACTACTGCTGCTACTACTACTACTACTGCTGCTGCTACTACTGCTGCTACAACTGCTGTTGCTACTACTGCTGCTGCTACTGCTGCTGCTACAACTACTACTAATACTGCTACTACAACAACTATAACCACTACACCTACAGCTACATTCTAAGTACCAGTTCTGGAGGTGAAAGGTTAGCTGGTGGTTCAGACTAATTTCAGCTTACTCCATACTGCAATGTAACACTTGTGTTGGCGGAGCATATTTCCTCTTATCTTATTTGGCTGAGCATTGTGCCTTACTTGTTATTTTCGTTTTAGACTCTGTAATCAATGATTGATTGGCTTTGATGGCTATTGCTTGTTTAAATCTACCCTTTCCATCTTTTACAACAGAATGTGTGTTACTATTTTTTCTTCTTCTGCGTAGAGTTGCTTGCATCTGTTAAGATTCATATCAGAATCATGTAATGGATTTTCTGTCCAGAATATTAGGGTGTATGGTGTGAGGAGCAGGGTGGTAGACTACTGTCACTCCTCTGGGTGGTGAGCTACTTTATGATAAAATAAATAGGGCGAAGGCTGTCTGGGGGTATTTAATGGACAGTGCAGTAGAACAGACAGACTCTTCACTGGAAAGGTCACAGGTAGTGAGCATACTTTGGATCTTTTCTCCAGGCCATGCCGGCGTGGTGGGTAATGAACAGGCAGACAGACTGGCTGGATCTGCACCACTGGGAGGTGAATTGATACATGACAAGGCGGATGTTGTCAAGGCCCTTTGGGAACAAGCAACGGAATCAGTAGAGATACAAGATTATATGGCCTGAAAAGAATAAGGCATCTGGGTGTAATCAGAGGGTCTGGCCGGTTCACTATACTCAGAGGAAAGGCAAGACAGACTTTTAACCAGATTGTGACCGGTACCATCAGTACTGTAACTCTGCCCTGGCTGCTGAACATGACGACAGAGCGTGCATGGGAATGCCCCGAGTGCTGTGATGTCAATTCTTGACTCAACTCAACAGACAAAGAATCCGTACAATTGAAAGTCTAATTCAACTGGGGGGGGGGGGGGGGTGTAGGTGGTTCTGGAAGATATTTAAAACTGATAGTGAAACAGACTTCTAATCAGGTTGCAGCTGGTACTGATAACACAGTGACTCTTCATTAGATACTGAGGAATACTGTGTGGGAGTGACCTAAGTTCAGTGATGCTGTTTTTTGATTCATATATTTATTCTTCAAATGAGGACCCCGGTAATACACAAGCAGGTTGCTTACTGCTGTTCGCTTAATTCATTTGACTGTGTTTTCTGCACTTCTGTGCTCTGCCCTCTCATGAGTGTCCAGTTTGTTTCACAGGTAAGACTAGTGGTCAAGACAGCACTGAAACTTCTGCTTGTATTCGTGGAGTACACGGAGGCAAATACCGTCCTGCTAATCACAGCCATCGAGACAGTTGACAGCAGGCGAGGCTTGCATCCTTGGACCAATGTCATGGCTTTGCTGAATGAGAAGGATGGTGCAGATTCTGAACTGCTGATTTACACCATGACTTTGATTAATAAGGTTAGTTACTGGGTTGAGAATCTCAACTCTCCACCATTTTTAAAATTTACAAAATTCTGTATGCTTGTCCCATCAGAGAATCCTGGGTAGTTAGTGTTCTTTGGATATTTTCTCCGGGGTAATCAGGAGTATTGGGAAAGGAACAGACAGACAGATTGGCTGGTTCTGTGCCAAAGGGTGGTGATTTTGTACATGTCAAGCGAGATGTGGTCAAGGCTTTTTGTCAAGAGTAAACAGTGCTGAGGCACGGATATGTCATTATGGTCTTGAGATAATGATGCTAGGAGCGACCAGGCAGTCTGCTCACACTCTGTACTCAAGAGGCAAGGCAAATTCAATTTCAGGTCTTTTTCGATCCTTCTGTCAGAAAACTTGTATCAGGAGGCCGGTAGCCTTTATGAAAGCTATCGTGCAGTCCATTCTTCTTGTGTACCAAACAGCTTTGTCTTTATTATGGTCTGAACAGGCCAGATTGTGTCTCTGTTATCAGCATACAGTTGACAGTGTTGGAGCACATGCTAAGCATTTTCAGGTGCCACACTACAGGGGTACGTCTCCGTGTTTCCTACACCAAAAAGTTTAAATATATGTTGACAAAATCTGTTGTGCCCTGTCCTTAGTCTGAATATAATACATTGTGCATCTCTAGAGGGTTGATGAAGTGAATCTTGTGGAGAGATTTTGGTGTATCTAGGCATCTTTCTTGGATACTAGATGGTATTAGTGTCTTAATCTCTTGGTGGGTTAAGTTGCTATGGTTGTACCATGTCACTGTCGCTTCTGGCCAATCTGTCCGCTATTTCATTGCCTTCCAGGCCACAGTGATCTGGAATCCACTGCATTACAGATTGTTTTACTGCTGAACTTAAGTGAATCAGCTGTTGCGTCAAGTCTTCAAACTGAGTGTCTTTTGGGTTAACAATTGCTTGTAGGACTGACATAGTATCAGTCAAAAAGACCACTCTGCTATCTTTGCTGTGCTGTTGTCCATTCAGGAAAGAACATGCCCCCAGAAGTGCATCTGCTTCTGCTCTGTAATTGGAGGATTATAAACCTGTTGGTATTGCTTGATCTAAAATGAATCTTATGAGAACTATTTTTTGGCCAACACTGTGCTATCGGTTCCAAACGTGGACACTTACATCCTCCAATGAATGTAAAATTGTGACAACAGAGATGAAATGCCTTAGAAGAGCTGCAGGAGTTCAAGGAAAGACAGAATATGAAATCACAAAATCAGACAAACAGATGATGTGATGGCATTAAGAACAGCCTTACAGAAATGAACATCAGTCCTAATAGTGCTCTTAACAGAGCTTATTAACGAATATCACATCTCCCCCTGACACTTCGCTGAGGTACAAGGTGAAAGAGAAGAAGAAGAAGAAGAAGGTATAGCTTGGTTGATGTTTAAATAATTTCAGGTGATCAGTGCCATACCAGACCAGGACACGTTCTATGATGTCACCGATGCACTGGAGGAGCTGGGCATGGACGCTGTCACACACAGACTCATGAACAAGCAAGGTGCTGACTTGGATCTCTTAACCCAGTTTCAGCTGTATGAGGTGAGAGCTTCACTTCTTTGTCTGACTCTCTGTTTTGTTCTTATAGTGTGTGAAGTAGAAGAAAATGTCATTCAAGCTCAGTTTTTGTGTGTGTTTACGTGTCTAAATAAAAAACCATGCAATATAGACCCAGACCTGCACATTTGGAGATAGCAACATACCATGTATTGCAACATACATTTGTTAGTTACTCGACACACAACGTATCTCTTAAACTTAGTAACGGCAGCTTTCCAGTGGCTTGAGAGCAGCACAGCCTGGCATGTTGGGACTGCATGCTTCGCTAAATTGAAACACTGGAGTCCTGAGTGCAGAGTGGCTTGCGTCACTGGATAAGACCCACATCAGGAGCATGACGTGGATTTTCTGCCCAGGATATTCAGGTGTGTCAGGTAACTACCAGGCTTATAGATTAGTTGTTGCGGCTTCTCTGGGTTGTGAGCTACTTTATGATAAAGCGGATGTGGTGAGGGCATCTCTGGGATCAAATGGGCAGTGCAATAGAACAGAGAATCCATATATTAAAAGACTAATTCAACCGGGGTGGATGGGTGGGGGGGATATAGAGGTTCTGGAAGATAAGGAGTGAGAGGAAAACTTAGTGGCAACCGGTACTATTTTCATGAAGATTCTTTGTTAGCTGTTGAAGAGGATGGAGGACATGTGGGAATGTTTGCATGGCGTGTATGCGTGACATCCTGATTGCTGTGGTGTGCCTCTTGGCTGGTTGCCTCCGACTTCAGCAACTTGTTTTGCTAGGGTAGACTGTGATCATACTCGAGGAGAGTAGGCTCATCCATTCGTCTTTCGCCTTTACCTCGTTTGTTGTCCCATCCAGTTTCCCGCTGGGGGTTGAGACCCCAACCTTCAACTGGATTGCTGGGAAGAACAGGGTCCACCACGTGAAGGTGAGGTAGGCTTGAGCAAGAGAGGCTAATAGACATTAAGAGTCTTTTATTGCGCATCATTGCTCCATGGTACTAGGGATAAGTCCAGCGTACCAACCGGGAAGTACTGCCATAACTACGATGCAGAAACCCAGGCTATCAAGATAGCTACAGAGAAACTGCTAAATACCAACCTTGGCTCACAGTATGTGGTAATGCTTACAGATGCTAAATCAGTACTTGAAGCACTCCAGTCTAGTCGTAATGCAGTGGATACCGTCTCATTGTGGAGTGCCTGGAAATGAGAAAGCTGATCAACTGGCAGGGAAAGGTGCGACAAAAGAGAAGCCAGATGTACCAGTCACATACCACCAAAAGAAAAGAATCATTAAATCGATCAGGAAACCACCAGCCCCAGCACAGGACGATTATTTTATAATGGACAGACCAGAACAAGTCATTATCCTCCGCCTCAGAACAGGGCACAACCGATTACGTAACCACATGTACACAAAATTCAAGATAGGTGTATCAGCCATGTGCACCTGTGGAAATGTGCCCCAGACCGCAGAGCATGTACTCCAGGACTGCACCGATTTTGAAACATTAAGGCAAACCTTTTGGCCAGAAAGAACAACAGTGGAACGTAAACTATATGGACCACTGAATGAACTAACAACGACAGTGAAATTTATACAAGAGACAAAACTGCTGATATAGATAACTTTTTTCAGGCGAACGAAAGAAGAAGAAGAAGAAGAAGCCCCCGATAGAAAAACCCCATAGCTTTACCGGGGGTTAAACCCGGGTCTCCTGCATGAGAGCCTGACGTAACCACTCGGCCAACCGCTCCTTTTATCGGGGGCAAAATGAAACATCCTAACCTGGTCCGCAGCAACAGCACTAGCTGTGCTGTCCTAAATCCCCAGGCTAACAACCCCCTGTCTAAACCGCCCTAAAAATAGGTAAATACAAACTGTCATGACAGTTTTTCAAAAGCTGTAACTTTCATTATCATGTGATCTTTTGGTTCTTCAGAGTGCCTTGAAGCATGAAGATGATGATGACATCTCTGTAATCTCACAAGTGGAAAACCTCAGGTATGCTAAAGTAATTCTGTCTCTTTTACCAAAACTAATATTACTGCATTTGACTTGAAGTTATGGATATCTGTGAAAATCACAAGTTGCGGATATCTGGAAATCTCAAGTTACGGATATCTGTGGAAATCACAAGTTATGGATATCTGTGGAAATCACAAGTTATGGATATCTGTGGAAATCACAAGTTATGGATATCTGTGGAAATCACAAGTTAAGGATATCTGTAGAAATCACAAGTTAAGGATATCTGTAGAAATCACAAGTTATGGATATCTGTGGAAATCTCGTTACAGATATCTGTAGAAATCACAAGTTATGGATATCTGTGGAAATCACAAGTTATGGATATCTGGAAATCTCAAGTTACGGATATCTGTGGAAGTCACATGTTATGGATATCTGTGGGAATCACATATTATGAATATCTGTGGAAATCACAAGTTACGGATATCTGTGGAAATTACCCAAAAAAAGTTTTTAGAGTTTATATACATCCTGTATTAGTTTATTGCTCATCCATCTTAGTACATGCATCTAAAAATGTTACACAGAACCTGTTCTGCTGTATGGCAGCGGATCTTGGAATGTCAGTGAACAAATTAAGAAGAATTTGGAAGCAGCGGAGACGTTTCTGAGACAGTTGTTACGAATACCTTGGACGGACACAGTAACTAACAACGATTGCTTGAAAGAAGCTAATGAAAGTAGATCTCTATATACAACAATAAGAAAAAGACAAACACTGTTCTTTGGCCACATAATGAGAAGAGAGACATTGAACATCGTGACAACTGGAAATTTCAGTGGAAACAGGGGTAGAGGTAGACCAAGAGAAATGATGCTGGATGGGCTGAAAGGATGGCATTGAGCTGTTCCAGGCAACCAGGGATCATGATCTGTGGAGACGCATGAGCGCCTATGCTTGTTGGCAAGGTACATGATGATGATCTTAGTACACTTGCTCCTGCAGGGAGGCGATCCAATCATTTGGAGGTGACAGGATCAGTTCCTGGTATGGTATCTGTAGCTTTTAGTTTTTCTGTTGTCTAGTGTGTCCCAGCCTTGACGAGGAACAGTTTGGGCTCCAGCATTTGATGGGTGGCATTGGTCAAAATCATTCATCCATCTCCTCCTTAGGTGCCATACTGCTATTCTTCTTCTATTCCACCATTGACCTCAGCGAGGAGTTGGGGGGGGGGGGGGGGGGGGGGGGTTGGGGGGGATGTAAGGATCATTCATGCACTTTTTCCAATGAGTTGTGCAAGTTGGTATTTATTTCTGTTAGGTTGCTGCTGATGGTGTCGCTCGGTATTTATTTCTGTTAGGTTGCTCCTGATGGTGTCGCTCCATCACTTTTGTGGTCTTCCCAGTGCTCTGTATTCATTATATTTCTTCAGCCTGGCTCTCTGTGGGTCTCTTTTGTTGAGCTTTTTAGTTAAATTTTTCTGGAATTCCTTGTATTAGCTTGACTGCAGTCACCCCCATAGTTTCACCTCTCTGTGGCAGTTGGTACCAGGGCATTCTCCTCAGGTGGCCAAACCATCTCATTTGTTGTTCTTTAATGAATTGTATGACTGGTTTCAGTCCTAGTCTTCTTCTAATTTCTTGATCCCTGATTTGATCTTTTCTTGCTATTAGATTAATTTACATTTAAAAAAAAAATAGGATGGCTCTGGTGTTGATTAGGCTTCTGTGACCAGGTCAGGTACACAGAGTAGTGACCCCAGTCCCACCATTTTGAAACTTTCACTGCCTTCGCACACTTGCCAGACTGACAAGTATGCATAACCATACTGGACTTTCATTTGCCGAGACATTTCTATAGGTTTAGCCCCTTTTTTTTAAATGGATAACAAAATGCTGCTTCCCTCTGATGCATGTCAATAGTCTTTTGCTGTCTTCAAACTGTCATAATGTCACTGTTTGTCTGCACCGTGATTTCACGTGCTTAACACTCTGGACAGCCTTAACATTATTTAAAGGTTACATGGCAGTGGCATAGTTATATTTTCTCACACCTTTAAGGTTTTCTTCTGAAGCTTCCATTCAATTTTGGCTGTATTCTGAGATGACTAAGACACTTGATCAACTGCTTCGGTGTATTTGATGCAAAGTGTTGTCCCCATAATCTGTCTGCAGGTATTGTTTCTCACTCAGTTGTGGCTTGTCTCGTATTAATTTATGCTTGTGAATAATGAGCAGTGAATAAAGTAGGAAGAAAGAAACAAGACTACAGAGACAAGCTCTTAGTGTTAAATGCTAGGAATGGCTAAGAAAATAACCGAGCACTGTAAGATGTTATTTTAAACATTTGGTTACCCACAGTAGGACAGGACACATTATTTAAACAAGTTAGGAGATGAAAATGTAAAGAAGGTTTTGACAATAAATTATGAGATGTGAGGTTGTGACATTTAGCTATGATTTGAGAGAATCTGAGGTTGTGACATTTAACTGTGATTGAGAGAATCTGAGGTTGTGACATTTAGCTTTGATAGAGAGAATCTGAGGTTGTGATATTTAGCTATGATTGAGATAATCTGAGTTTGCGACATTTAGCTATGATTGAGAGAATCTGAGGTTGTGACATTTAACTATGATTGAGAGAATCTGAGGTTTTGACATTTAGCTTTGATTTAGAGAATCTGAGGTTGTGATATTTAGCTATGATTGAGAGAATCTGAGTTTGCGACATTTAGCTATGATTGAGAGAATCTGAGGTTGTAAAATGTAGCAATTATTTGAGAGAATCTGAGGTTGTGATAGATATGAGATCAGAGATAGTGATATATAGTTATAATTTGAGACAGCAAAGTTATGAGAGAATATGCGATTGTGACAGTATCACTCTAGAGAAGGTTGTAATAATGATAAAGATTGTGTTAAAAGGTCAAAAGAGAGACTGGTAGATGATCTGTGGAATGTAAAGAAAATCAAAACTAGTACAGAACATTATTACTGTGTGGAGTTGAACAAATGGATGACTACAAGAATGATTCCAAGTGCAGAAGGGTCTGTAAACATGTAGGTGTAGGTCTATATTCCCAATACTCTTAAAGGCTTGGAAAAGGTTCTTTTACTTACATCCTATACATGGGAAGTGTTTAACTCAAGTCCCAGGGGGTTAAGCATCACAGGCCCAAGGGGTAGTCAAGAAAGATGTAAAATCGGCTCATCATGCGTTTATTGGGCTTCTAGGTAGGAATCTATGAATGTATGATGCGTTCCTTGGGTCTCCAAGAGTTAAAATATTTGTCATCATGTTGAGCTAATTAAAGAAAAAAAGAAGGGGTTTCTGTTACACATTGGGGCTTCATTAATGTGGAAAAATATGATAATTTAAAACAAAATAATCTTCCTTTCAGAATTTTGCTTTCATGAAAATATAAATCCGAATTTTCCAACAGGCAAGTCCCACGCAAGAAAAGTGAAAGCCATGCAAGAAAATCCAAAAGGCATGAAGGTGGCCAGGAGTTGACATTGCCTGAATATTCTCAAGGCCAGATACAAGCACAAGGTTTACCATTTGAAGCTGCTAAACGAAAAGATGGGAAAAGAGGGTACTGATAAGTTGACTTTAATTATGAATACTGTTCATTTTTTTTAAACTTCATACGTTGTTTCATCTGGGTAAAGATTTGCATCACAGCATTCACAACAAGCCTATAGCTCTGTCTCTCTTCTCAACAGCCAGCCAAAAGTTTCCATACTAATCGTACTCGTCATCTGGTTAACTCTTTGAGTCCCAAGGAACGCATCATACCTTCATAGATTCCTACCTAGAAGCCTAATAAACGCAAGATGCACCGATTTTACGTCTTTCTTGACTACCCCCTTGGGCCAGTGATGCTAAACCCAATGGGACTCAAAGAGTTAACTACTACTCTTCCCTTCTCCTGAGTCTTGAGTGGTGCCCAGAGCTTGCAGACACTCCCCACAGCAACATTGTCTTCAGGAGCAGGTTTCCAGTATCTTTCACTTGAGTTGTTACCTCACCACTCGGATGAGAAATCACCCCTGCCTTGTGTAGTTGCAGTAAACCTCTGAGGCCAATACAGCCCACCTGTCTGCCCACCTGTCTGCCCACCTGTCTGCCCACCTGTCTGCCGACTATTAGAGAATGTGCTATTTTGCTAATAGATTGTAAATAAAATTTATGATCCCTGACATTCCATGATTTGAGCTCCACGGCAGGTGGTTATAAAATGTCTTTCTGGAATTCTGACGGCTACAATCACCAACCTCGCCCCAATATGGGATGCAATTTTGTTGTTGTTGTTTTAAAGCTCTACCACGGTTGTAGAGAGAGCCAAAGAAAACCTTACAGATGAATGGGGTTTTTGGGATTTGTGCATGGGTGATTCTCATCCGAATGATGGCACTTTGTGTCACTGGCTGTTTGTCACTAGTTATGCGATCCTGGTGGGGTTAAATATCACTCACGGGATTCTGACAGTGGTACGAGAATTGAACCATGAAAGAAATTGGCACCTCACCACATAATGTTCCCAAATACAGCAGTAGACTGTAGCCAGTCTTCATAGGGAAGATAGACTCAATTTTTGTTTAAATGACAAAATGTGAGTTCATAAAAGTTCGCGTAGGTACATAACATTTCTGAAATTTGCAGCCTGAAGACGTAGGTCTTGATGTGTTCTAAAGCTATGATACACAAGCATAGAGAGATGCTCACCTGTGGATCCGAAGGCAGTGGGTTCAATACTGAACTGATCTCTATTTTTAGGTGACTTTGGCTCCTAGGTCATCCCAGTTTTCAATGGGTAACAATCTAAAGGTTTATTTCCTGGGAAGTAAAGGTGACTGCCATGATGTTGGCCCCATCACCCACCGAGTGCCAGTTGGTCTATATAATACACGTCTAGCACTTAATGGCCTATATGCCTGACTGCGTGGAAAGGGTCTTTATGATGTTGAAGAAAAGGTGATCACTTGCCCCCTTCATTACCTTTCCTTCTCAGCCAATTCCCAACTAAAGTTATTTGTGTATCTTTTACAGGAATTTGCAGAACCAACCCCAGCATTTATTGGCTTTTGTAGTGTTTCTAACCAAAATGATGTTCGTAGTTTGCAGTTGCTTTCTGAAAGTTCAGCTCTCAGTACCGCTGTCTAAACCAGCTCAAAACAAATTGTCCGCAGCAGGGATTGAACCTGGCAAGCCCGGCATTATGAAGTGTGTTCGCAAGGCCTGAGCCACAGATGCCGACAATTCCCAACTACTTGGGGATAAATTGAGGCATGACAAGCTAGAGGTTATCCTTCGGCTGGGAGCAAGTGAACACTGCTGAGGCACAAAATAGATCTTCACTGTCTGGAGAGATTGGTGCAGCTGGGAGTAACCAGGGAATCTGGTTTTTATTCAGCAACACCAGTAAAACTAAGACACAGTCAGACTGCTACTAGCACTATCAAAACTGGAACTGTGCGCTGGCTGCTGAAAATGGGGCAGAAGTTTGCTCTCTAGACAGCTGCAGTCCCCCTGTCTTCCCGAGTGGACCGCCGCGATCAAAACATTGCGAAGGCAGCGAGGCCAAGGCTGCCAAAACTGTTGGTCATTATCCCGCCCCGACACAGCACAACCACAATACACGCTGCTCCCACGAAAAACACATACTATCCTGCATTGGAAATGCGCATAAAATAGCAGTTCATAATTAGGAAGTAGAATAATCCAAGAGAATTGACAGGCAGCAGAGAAAAAAACACCACTGCTATCCACCATTTTGAAAACCGAAGTTCCCCTGAGGATTGATTCCAGACCTCTGTTTCAGCTGACAAGCATACTGTCCATTGAAGCTCTGAGTAGTAAAAAGACCAGTTTAGCCAGCTTTTCTCTTTTTTTCCCCCAGCATTCTGGGCCATTGAGCTTTGTTGTGTTGACCCTCCCCCCCCCCCCCCCCCCCCCCCCCCCCCCCCACCCCCCCCCCCCCCCCCCCCCCCCCCCCCCCCCCCCCCCCCCCCCCCCCCCCCCCCCCCCCCCCCCCCCCCCCCCCCCCCCCCCCCCCCCCCCCCCCCCCACTCACCACACCCTCCCCCCCCCCCCCCCCCCCCCCTTCTCCCACCCCTGCATTCTTCTCTGTGATTGACCTTGTAATTTCGAGTTGGTGACCCTAAATGTTTTTAGTTCTACCTGAATATGATTGATTTACCATCTTTTTGGGAAGGCGCCATGGTCTAGAAGCTAGGCACTCCCTTGTCGATCGGGAGCCTAACTTTAAAGAAAAAAAAATGACCTTGGCTCCCATGTCGACCAAGCCTTGATCGAACGAACGAACAAACTTTATTTTCAAAGGGTTACAAATTGGGCACGCAGGCCCGTCTGACATTCGGCCCTTCTAAGCACTAATTTTTCAGAGTACCAATACCTGTTATCAATAATGCATGTTATAGCAGTACTTGAGTGAATACCAGGTACATTCCTGGGAAGCAAAGGTGGCCAGCATGATGCTGACCACATCACCTACCAAGTGCCGTTTGGTCTATAAAATACAGGGCTAGCCCTATATACCCAATATGTCTAAAGGCATGGGAAGAAGTCTTTACTTACTTACTTTTACATCTGCTTGGGTTCTGAGAATCTTGTAACAGGACACAAAGAATACTCACAGCCCCTAACAAGCATGTCGTACAAGTAGACTGGCTAGGCGATTCCTTGAAAGTCAAAGTTCATCTGCATGGGAAGCGAGGAGTTAAGTCTACACCCTAATTAAGTCAGATCTGTAGAATGAATGTGCACTCAGGACTCAGTTCTGGAACAAGACCAAAGTCCAGAAGTGGACAAACAACCAGAACTTTCCGCTGGAGAGTGAACGCTAAGGTCTGCCTCCTACTCCTTTCAGCTATTGTGTGAACATTTTTTGTCTCAGTTATCTGCCACTCTGTCTATATACCAAACCATAGCAGTCTATTAACTTTTTGAGTCCCAGGGGGTTAAGCATCACAGGCCCAGGCTGTAGTAAATAGAGTAATAAAATTGGCGCATCATGCATCCATTGGACTTTTAGGTAGGAACCTATGAACGTATGATGTGTTCCTTGGGACAAAGAGTTAACCTCCTTGATTCAAGTAATTAGTAGTAATTTAGATTTTGCTGGTTAAAAAAAATTTTTTTTACAGGTCTTTTGGAGAATTGCAGGTGTCTGAAAAGGAATTCAGTCAGAGAAATCATATACATGGCATGGAGAATGCATCACCTACTAGTCAACGCAAGTCAATTTCACCTCAGAGTGAGTAAACAATGTACACTTTTGGTCTATAGAATACACAGCTAGCTCTAAATGGTCTATATGACTGACTGCGTGGAAAGGGTCTTTGTGATGTAGATGAAGAGGTGATCACTTGCCCCCTTATGCAAACTTATGTAATATAGCTCCATTACTGTGTAATTCATTGTAGTAATTTATAGAATGCACTTCCGGTATTCCAGAATGTATGGTACTAACTTATGTAGTAAACCTATATTTTAGCATTTATTTTGCAAACTTTTGTAGTATACAAGCTATACATTTCAGAACTTGGTGTAATAATTATAATTCTTTTCCTTCTTCTTCGCGTTCACTGGCTGTAAAGTCCGGCGGAAAGTTCTGGTTGTTTGTCCACCTCTAGACTGTAGTCCTATTCCAGAACCTGCGTGTTGTATGTGCAAACGTTTAACAGATTTGACTAATTTGAATGCAACTGTTGGTTCCTTGCCTCTCAGGTAGATGCACCCCGACTTCGAAAGGAGCTCCCAGTTAGTCGACTCTTATGACATGCTTTTGGTTAGGCAGTGGGTCTATTCTTGTTGTCCCTATAATAGGGAATTGTAATTAAAAACTATTTATATAGAAATTAATGTACTTCCAATACCTTTGAATATTGTGCAATAATTTATGTAGTAGATTTCCAATATTTACTTTAGTATATTTTTTATAAAATTAACCTTCGGTACTTTAGAGGTTAGTGTAGTTTAACTTTCAATACTTTCAAATTCAGTGCATTAATTTAATTTCACTTTGTACTGTTTTACTTATAAGTAAAGTAAAGTTCCCTTTTCATGCCTTTCGGCGCATCGGGCATATGAGCAGAGCGTCCCATATTTTTACAGACCATCAGCACTCCGTGGGTAATGTGGTCAGCATTACGTCGGCTGTCTTTACTTTCCCAGGACAGCCCTTCCTGGTACCCATTTTAGGCTTATATTTCCCCTCAAACCATTTCACCTATTTGGGTAGCAGTTTTGACTGTCAGGGAAATACAGTGAAGGAGGTCATGGCACGCTGGCAAAGCAACAACAGTCTTTAAAAGCCTTAACAAAATATAGAGCTCTATGTTATACAGCTTTAAGACCAAACTGTGAATCTTCAGTTCTAAGTTTTTTTTTTTTTAAATCTAACATTTGACAAAGTTCAACTACCAAAGATATGGAACGAAAGTTAAATGCACTTGAAACTAGTCTGAGAACAATCATGAACATGAAATAGGTTTAACTAAAACAAGATTGAGATCAGAGAAATGTCTGGACAAAAACTTGTATAGACTGCAGTGAGACAACAAAGAAGGTGGACATTTATCGGCCATACTCTGAGATGAAATGAGCAAAGATTTACAAAACAGGCACCTAAATGGGAAACTGTTTGAGAAAAAGAGGATGTCCGAGAGAAGAATTAAGATTATTATTATTATTATTATTATTATTATTATTATTATTACAAGAGTCAAAAAATGTCAGAAATTGAAAGTTGCATGCAATAGAGCGGAGTGAAGGAATTAAATGCAAGCGCTGTGTGATGTCTAATGGCACACAAAAGATGATGACTGACACTTATATATTCACACGTACTGTCACATACAGATGTAAACACTGAACCCCGTCTCTTCATCTTCTCTTTCATTTAGATGCTCGAAACCGTCGCATGTCCAGACAACGTATTTTCATGGAGGAGAAACATGAAATTCTGGCTATTGTAGACAAGCAGGACCACAATGAGAAAGAACCACAAATGGCCTCTTCAGAAAGACAGCCTGAATCTTGCTCACCGTCTGGCCAGGGTTATCCCTTTCCCTTTATCCAAGCTCAGACGCCAGTTAATGCGCATTTGCAGACAGAACGTTCCCCTTCATTATCATTGCAGAATACCATGACATCAGAAACCAGTCTTTCAAAAAATGTATATGGAAGTGGAGACTCTGCTTCTCATACGGAACTTTATTTAGGATCCAGAACTTCATGTGATTTTGGCAGACCTCCGAATGCAGCCTCCAGAGAGCTGCCCAACTTATCTAATGGTCAGCATTATTGGAATGACCAACAAGTTAAGCCACCACAAAAATCCTCTGAGTTTGTTGATGCCAAAGAAGTATCCGGTTCCTTTCAATCTGTCTCATATTTATCTGGCCCAGCCAGTATACAATCTGACAATTCAACAAGCTCACTTCACTTCAGTTCTCAGCTTGGCAGGGAGACTCAGGAAGTAATGCCAGGTGACAGACTGCATCTGCATGCTAACCGACATCAGAGCCAGCACAACCAGCCACACCATCCACATTTTCATAACCATTATCACAGCCATGACAACAATGCTCAACAAGGATACGGTCTAGATTATCAGGGATACGTCATTTTGAATAATGACCAGTCTTTCAGTAAGTTTATTATTTAAAAAAATTGTACATGGTTTATGTTGTTGTCAGCATGACTGCACTTTTAATGAAGATCCCAGAAGATCGCTGCTGGAGCTGCAGCATGCATGTTTTGTGTAACTCTGTGTACAGGTGGCTAGCTGTTCTGTACAGATTTACCACCCCATGCAATTAAGTTGATGCTTTCAACTTAAACCCTTTTCCCCCCTAAAGTGCTTAAAAACAAAAGGCTATGAACCCATGGGAATTTCTGAGAATCCTTAAACAATTTTACACAGGTAACCTTCCGAGTTCAATCCCCTGTAAGGGCTGGCATTTTTTTCACATGGACTTGGACTTCTAGTAATTCCCCTGGTCTCTGGGTAGTGAGATCGGACGCCCTATGCATTGTTGCGCACATAAAAATACCCCCTGGCACTTGGAAATCGAAAAGAGTAGCCTAACAGCGCTGACCAGGCAAAATTTTGAGTTGAAATCGACCCAAAGCATTTCAGGATCCTCGCCAGTGCTACAAAGCCTGTGCACTTTGCTGAGCTTCTTCAGACTCAGACTTGAGTTAGAAGACCATAGCACTTATGGATTACACCCGTGTGCCATGATGTTGATCCGTTATTCAAAATCTCAAACACAGGTAACTAATAAATTGTGTTAAAATTTATTTTTAAAATGTATTTCCAAATATATTAAGATATACAAAAGGAGGAATCAATCAAGAATGAATTCAGGCATTAAAATGAATGCATTCCCTGGGGCTAAAAGAATGTATCCGATGAGTTATGCTGTGACCTCTAACACTGAGGCTTGTGGGAAAATTTTCTCTGCCACGAAAGACTCAAGAATTTTCTTATTGTCTTTATGTTCTTAGTCCGTTATTTTGAAACTCATTAAAATGGCAATAATCATATTACCGTATTATTGCTAAACTCATAATAGATAGAGGCGTGAACTGCTAGGTCTTCGAATATACTGGGGGCTGAATGGTCTCGAGGTATTGTGTCTCATGTGCTGGAGGTCCCAGATTCAAGCTCCAGTGAAGCTAGGATTTTTTTTCCTATGGTCCTCTAGTAATTTCCCCTGGTCTGCGGGTAGTAAGATCAGATACCCGTGTGTATTCTTGCGCATGTTGAAAAAAAAAATCCTTTGACAGTTGGAAATTGAAAAGAGTAGCATAAGGGTGCTGCCCAGGTCAAATTTCGAGTTAAAAATCTATCTAAAGTATTTCACGATCCTCGCCAGTGCAACAGAGTTTGTGCACTGCGCGGAGATTCTTCAGACTCCGGCTTGAGTTAGAAGTGTAATGGAGTAAGGGTTACTACTCTTGTGCCATGATGTTGATCCGTTGAATAAACATAAACATATACTAGGTCCGATTGTGGTAGGCTAATCATTCCCCCTCACACTACCTGCCTTTTGCATTTCTCAAAACATAAAATCAAGGACCCTAACCATTTTGTAGGCTGACTTGATTGTATAGTTGTGATCATCACCATGTAGCAGGTCCTTTGCAGAATGTCACTCTCTGGCCAACTTTCCCACCTCGTGTACTCAAGGAGTCACTTGTATCCTGGTTCCATCCTCCTGTTGGTCGGCCCCTGCCCCTCCTTCCTGGTATCATGCCTTCTGCTATTATTTTGTCCAATCCGCCATGGCGCTTGATATGACAAATATTTCAGCTTCTGAGACAGGATGCTGTTTATTTGCCAGTCTTCCTTGATGTTTAGATCTTTCAAGCCCTGTAGTAATTTACAAATCCTGGCTTACAATGGGGGTTCCAAGGCCACATTTTTATTGGTGGGGGGGGGGGGGGGGGGGGGGGGGGGTCGGGAAGAGAATAGGTCAACTGGCCCCTAACAATCATGATGTAAAAGATGACTAATTAGGTATGTATGTAGGTAAGTTGTACCCAACCAGGACATCACACAAATGATAAACACCCGGTGATACAAAGTACCACCATGCGGATGAGGATCAGTCCTGGAAACCCTGTTCAGCCATGAGGCCATATTTCAGGCCTGTCTATATTTAGAGCTCCTGGCAAAAGCCAGGGTGGGGGCTTTAAAATAACTAAAAATTGCATCCCATGTGGGGATTTGCTTGTATGATATGCAAATTAGAGGTTTACTGAAATCGAAAGTGATATGCCAAAAGGAACGGACATTGCAGCTTAACTGTAAACTACGGTAACCTAACTGCCCTATAAAAACAGTGGATATAGATAAAGAAAAATCATGGCGTTACAAGGAGAATAAGTCGGGGTCTAGTGGTAATGTAAATAGGTTTCTTTTTTGTTGTTGTCTTTTTGGTGATAATGATGTTCACTTATTCTAGGTTTGGATGGCACCTTTCCCAGCCGAGGCGCTCCTGTAAATAAACACAGACAGTCCAGCCTTGAGGGTGTTCCTGGTCGACATCCAGTACAAGCCGGAAATGATTCTCAGCTACCCATCAGGAATTTCAACAGTGACATACAAGGTGACTCATCTGCAGTTTACGGCAACCAGAGAGATGGAACATACAGTCAAAGTCACAAGCAAAGTCATCAGAATGACTTCATTACTTCCCAGTCACAACAAATGGTGGAAAACGGCTTTCTGTTGACTGAAGAAGGTCAAGTGAGAAATATGCAAAGTAAACTGAAAAATGAAGGGGTTGCAAGTCCAAAGGAAGCCATGAGGCCGGTGGGAGATGTCAGCGGAATTATCTCTAATGCTAGAAATAATTTGAGCCGGCAGACGTCCTCCAACAAACTTCCTCCTTTGCTTTCTGTGGCAGAGGTGGAGAAAAAAGCTGAAAGTGATTTCCAATGGGATAGAATTCAAAGGAGGTTGCACAGACAACTGCAAATTAAGGATATGGATTTCAGTGATTTGAAAGAGGAAGACGATGTTGATATATTTTCCTCAGCAATTTTTGAAAGTTCTTCAGCACATGGTGCACCTCCACCACCACCACCACCTCTTGGTGGTCTTCCACCTCCTGCACCTCCAGCATTTGGAGATCTCCTTCCTCCTCCCCCACCACCACCTGGTAGTCTTTCACCATCACCTCAGGCGAGTGGCCGATATGCCTCTCAACAGTTTTTCTCGTCACTTCCGCCTCCTCCTGGAACCGAACTCAGGAAGAGCAAAAAGACTCTGCGTCTTCACTGGCGTGCTCTGCCAGGTGATAGCTCACATCCTGCTACCAAAGGAGAGGTCATTTGGAAGCATCTAGTCCCTGTCGCCATCGACACAAATAAGCTGGAGCATTTGTTTGAAACAAGATCAACGGAACTCAAGACCAAGGCAAGTTTTAAAATTTTTTTATTTATTTTAATTTTGTGTTTGTTGTTATATCGTATAGTTTAAATTAAACTAAACTAAAGAAATTAGACATATGGATGAATAGGGACTGTACCTCCTGATTTATTTATCGCACACTGAATGGAATTGAGTATTGTTGAAAGTGGCGCCACAGTTAGGATGGGCAGTTGTACATTATGAAAACAAAAGGATCATAAGCTAAGAATTAGGTTTCCATGGTCACGGAACTAAAGTCAAATGCAGGTTTGTATATATTTGTTTTTATTTCAGACAATTAAACGTAAACCAATTAGATGAAATACATGTATAGATGGATAGGAGTTGTGCCTCCTGATTTATTTATCGCAAGGTGAATGGATTTTGTATGAACATTGGTAAAAGTGGCACTTAGGATAGGCAATCCTGCATTATGTAAACAAAAGGATCATGTAGTTGAGTTAAGTCTTCCATAGTTAGGTGTATAGCATGTAATAAGTCAAAAGATTCAATTTGTGTGCTTCTTTGTGCCTACATTTTGTAGAAATACACAGACAAGTTACGGGAAATTTTCCAGGCAAACAGTTGTGAAATATATTGTTTGCATTCAATTAATTAGCCCTTTTGTCCAGAGAAGCTGCAAAATCAGCAGTTTTGTATTGGTTAAATTCCCTGTAAATGTGTCGCTTTTCCAACTCATTTACAATGATGTGTTTGTTAGATGCATAGTTTATGCTCCTGGCTAAGTTGGGGTCTGCGAAAATATTTAGGTCTGGATATGAATATATAGGATGTTATTAAAGTTTAAAACGTTTTGTTTGTAGAATTATACAAGAAAAGCCACATTTCTCTCAGATTTACGGTATCAATCACGGAATCAAGGCCAAAGTGTTGTGATATCCATAGTACCAAGCCAAAGGGTTGTGATATCCATAGTACCAAGCCAAAGGGTTGTGATATCCATAGTACCAAGCCAAAGGGTTGTGATATCCATAGTACCAAGCCAAAGGGTTGTGATATCTAAAGTACCGAGCCGAAGGGTTGTGATATCCATAGTACCAAGCCAAAGGGTTGTGATATCTAAAGTACCGAGCCAAAGGGTTGTGATATCCATAGTACCAAGCCGAAGAGTTGTGATATCCATAGTACCAAGCCAAAGTGTTGTGATATCCATAGTACCGAGCCAAAGGGTTGTGATATCTAAAGTACCGAGCCAAAGGGTTGTGATATCCATAGTGCCAAGCCAAAGGGTTGTGATATCTAAAGTACCGAGCCAAAGGGTTGTGATATCCATAGTACCAAGCCGAAGAGTACTCATGGTTTCTGGATATAAAATATTTTTGAAATACAAGAGAAAATGTTGTTGATATGGGCGACTTATTTCAGACGAATGAAAGAATTAATATATATGTTTATATATTATGGCAAAAATGGTATAAAGTGCAGACATTTTATTTATGACCTGTGTAAAAAAAATGGTTTCGGGGATTTTTTTGATAACTTATATAGGATCACACTGCATATTTGTATTTATTCATACGAGGGCAACAGTTTAATTCACAATGGGAGATTTTAAATGAGATGTTGACAATCTATATTTTGTGAAAATATTAAATGAGATAAAGGGAGATAAAATTGAAAAAAAATTTAAAATTTAGTGACAGCTGGCAAATGTGACAGAAAAGAGCAAAGTAGAAGACAAAGACGAAGTGGCACCTTGGTATATGCTCACTTTCATATATGCTGTTTTTGATCTCTTTTTTTTTTTTCTATTTGAAGTTTGCCTTTATTATTCTGTTGCCTGTTCTTTGCTGTTACCTTCGTTTGGTTACATTTTCTTTTCTGTCATAAACCTTAGTTTTATTTTTCTATTGCCTTGTCTTCTGCATTATCTTTACAGTTTTGACTTTTCTGTTACCATAAGTGTTACCTGTATTGTGCTGTAACATTTTACTCAGAAAGCATATGTAAGTTTAAAAAAAAAAAAAGTCACAATAATAATTTTTAAATATGATACCTTGCTAAAGAATCTGACACAGTTGTGGTTGAAACTTATCTGTCCTATGTAGGTTATCATTGTCTTATGAATGCGATAAGGTAAATTTTGGATCTGTTTTTGTTATTGCTAATTATATCCTAACATTTGTTGATGTTGCATGGAGTCACCATGGGTCGTTATTACATGTATCCTTGAACTGTAGTAGTAGTAGAGCATGTAAATCATGTTTTAAGTTCATGAGGGGCCCGGCTGGCTAGCATAGTTGGCTAAACCTGACTTTGCAATGACCGGGTGACGAACTCCTTGTGGTCCGGGTTCACGCACGGGGGTAGGCTGAAAATCAACATTTCTCCCAGATTTACGGTATTTATCATAAAATCAAGGCCGAAGGGTTACAATATCCATAGTACCGAGCCAGAAGATTAAGAACTCATGGTTTCTGGATATTTTAAAAAAAAGGGCTAATGAGCATGAAGAAAAAAGTATTTGTGCTATCCGCAGGCAAACATTATTCGTATCTACAGATGAGCTATAGTTTATATGTCGTAGAACTTAAAGTTAGTTTGTTTAGTTAAACTTGGTCTTTGTTGAAGTAAGCATAAAACACTAAACAAATTTCGTAGTTACCAGTCAATGTGAATGGCTTGGGCATACTCAATATCAGAATGTCCGAGAAGTAAAATTGTTTACATGGGAGTTGAATGGTCGTGACCACGGGGCCAACGAAGAAGACAGTGGAGAGATAACATCCAGACAGACCTACAAACACTTGGTGTCACCTGTTGGAAAGAGAAGACCACCCAGATAGGTGGGTTATATCTGCAATTCTCCATGGAAAAAAAACGAAGACAATTACTAATGGAGACATTCTTCAAAAATGACCTTGGCATCCAGGTCAACCCAGCCTTGAGTGGGTCCCGGGTGCATTCCCGGGAAGTAGAAGCGGCCGGTGTGATGCTGACCCCATCACCCATCTTGTGCAGTTGGTCTATAAAAATATTGGTCTAGCCCTATATGCCCTATACACCTAAAGGCGTGGAAAAGGGTCCTTTACTTTACTTTTTTACTTTTAAATGATGGCTAGGCGGAAACATTTTTACAAATTATATACATTTGTCAACATACAGCACAAGTCCTGATATTTTTCGGTGTTATGTAATGTATACAGTTGTCAGTTTTACTTTAAAGACCTCCATTTTGTTAAAACCTTGAAATGCCAAAGATATTGTTGCTAACGTTCTTGTGTGTGAGAAATGTTTACATAAATGTTTGTTTTCCCACTGGTTCTCTGGATGTTTGATGTATCTAATATCCCTTTGAAAAGTTTCATGGCATGTTCAATAACAAGACTATATTGGAATAGTGTTAGTGAATGTTACTGGCTGCTTTGATTTGCACAACTTGGCAACACATTTTAAACACAGTTGCTTGAAATAATCTTTGGTGCATTTATCACACCCTTCAAAAGATGCTAAAAAGAATAACTTGGTTTGTTTGAATGTTGAATTTTGAATTAGGTGAAAATGGAATATCATCATCAAGAACAGCGTTAAATTATCCAGTTACGCAACACATTAAAAATAGCAAAAAGAAGTTCCTTACATCTTCAACTTTTCAGTTATTAATTGGAGAAAGAAAAGAATAATTCTGACATAAAATCATATAGATCTTTAGTACCTCTCACCACTTATTGTATGACTTCATTGCCAGATCTGACATGTAGTGTGCTGTATCCGATAGTGTGTTGAATCGGATAGTGTGCTGTATCCAATAGTGTCTAGTATCTGATAGTGTCTTGTATCTGATAGTGTCTTGTATCTGATAGTGTCTTTGTATCCGATGGTGTCTTGTGTCTGATAGTGTCCTGTATCTGATGGTGTCTATTATCTGATGGTGTCTTGTATCTGATGGTGTCTATTATCTGATGGTGTCTTGTATCTGATGGTGTCTATTATCTGATGGTGTCTTGTATCTGATGGTGTCTATTATCTGATAGTGTCTTGTATCTGATGGTGTCTATTATCTGATGGTGTCTTGTATCTGATGGTGTCTTGTATCTGATGGTGTCTTGTATCTGATGGTGTCTATTATCTGATGGTGTCTTGTATCTGATGGTGTCTATTATCTGATGGTGTCTATTATCTGATGGTGTCTTGTATCTGATGGTGTCTTGTATCTGATGGTGTCTTGTATCTGATGGTGTCTTGTATCTGATGGTGTCTTGTATCTGATGGTGTCTATTATCTGATGGTGTCTTGTATCTGATGGTGTCTATTATCTGATGGTGTCTATTATCTGATGGTGTCTTGTATCTGATGGTGTCTTGTATCTGATGGTGTCTATTATCTGATGGTGTCTATTATCTGATGGTGTCTTGTATCTGATGGTGTCTTGTATCTGATGGTGTCTTGTATCTGATGGTGTCTTGTATCTGATGGTGTCTATTATCTGATGGTGTCTTGTATCTGATGGTGTCTATTATCTGATGGTGTCTATTATCTGATGGTGTCTTGTATCTGATGGTGTCTTGTATCTGATGGTGTCTTGTATCTGATGGTGTCTTGTATCTGATGGTGTCTTGTATCTGATGGTGTCTATTATCTGATGGTGTCTTGTATCTGATGGTGTCTATTATCTGATGGTGTCTATTATCTGATGGTGTCTTGTATCTGATGGTGTCTTGTATCTGATGGTGTCTATTATCTGATGGTGTCTTGTATCTGATGGTGTCTATTATCTGATGGTGTCTTGTATCTGATGGTGTCTATTATCTGATGGTGTCTATTATCTGATGGTGTCTATTATCTGATGGTGTCTATTATCTGATGGTGTCTTGTATCTGATGGTGTCTTGTATCTGATAGTGTCTATTATCTGATGGTGTCTTGTATCTGATGGTGTCTTGTATCTGATGGTGTCTATTATCTGATGGTGTCTTGTATCTGATGGTGTCTATTATCTGATGGTGTCTTGTATCTGATGGTGTCTTGTATCTGATGGTGTCTATT